GGTGAGATAGATTTGTGTGAATTCCTGATCAAAACATATCCTCACTTACTAGATATCGCTGACAATAATGGTATGAATGTCTTACATGAATCAGCGTGGGGTGGAAACATTGATTTGTTTAAATTTCTATTAAAGAAAGGTCTAGACATCAACATCAAAGAAAGAAAAGATGGGAATACTGTGTTACACCTGTGTTGTTTGAATGGTAAAATAGATATGTGTCAGTATTTGATCAACACTTTCCCGTATTTACTTCGTATGACTGACAATAATGGCCACACTGCCCTTCATGCCGCAAAAGTGGGAGGAAACATTGAACTGCTTAATTTTGTAATAGAGAAAGGCTTAAATATTAATAGCACATGTTGGTAAGATAAACATGTGTCAGTACTTGGTCAATCCTTTTCAGCGACTACTAGATTTAACTGACGTAGTTGGTGAGAAAGCATTTCTTGATGCGATGTTTCGAGGTAACATTGATATTTTTAATTAACATGAGAGAGAGATGTGCATATCATAGCCATATGAAATAAAAAAAAAAGAAGGAAAACTACATCGTAATTATTTATCAGTTGATCTTAAAATCTGAAATAAATAAAAGGCATTTAATCAACTGTTTGCAAGGAATGAGAATATTTTACATTTGCGGTTTTGATTAAATTTTCATTAGTTTACGTTGGCATTAGAGAACTATTATCTATACAGATAAGGAATATACACTGTGCAATAAATCAGCACTATACAGGATGCTGCAGGTTCAACATTGTGTACTTCATATATAAGACATTATTTATAGTTACTAACTTAGGTGTGCTCTGAGTCATAAGTATGTAAAAGCACCAAAACAATGTTACTTACATTAATGTAACTTAAAAAGTACTGTTTCCACATTAAGCAACAGCAAAGTTGCATTTAGCAAATGCTTTTGTTATTTCATCTGATATTTTACTATTAGAATGACAATTCCCATTCAATTATATTATGCCCACAACATTTAGTCTTAAGCGTTTGTGAATCTTCGTGTGCAATGTATTGTGAAAATATTATTACGTAAATGTTTCTCAAAGGTTTTATTTATTTTTGAATTTTGGCTTCTTTTTTTTTCTTTTTTTTTTTCTTTTTTTTTTTTTTTATTTAATCATTTATTTGTATTTCATTGGATGCATTTTATATACAAAGAAAAATTTATAAACTATTGATATTTGAAAATGAAATGGATATAGGATTATTTTGTATCCTAATGGTTTATCATTGCATGTCAATTACTTTGTTTTTAAATGTTTAAGGAATAATGTATATCAAACGACACCAAAATAAAATGTTGCCGTCATGAATTTAAAAGGAACATGTTAAGAATATTTGAATATTTTTCCGAGTTTAAAGTCAGTTAAGAAAAATGAAAAAATCGTTGCGACAGATCTTGCAGCAGTAATTGTCTAATTGTCTTACTGTTTCTTTAAAATTGTGTATATTTCTTTGTTTGTTTAACGTCCTTTCGAGATGTTTCTACTCATATTGAGACACCACCACTTGCCGTTAGAGGGTTGCAAATTTAGACCTGTACTCGGCCTCATGGCCTTCGAGCAGTGAGGGATCCTTTTCTTGCCAGCACGTTCTGCTATTCAGGACATCTGTCTATGCGATCTCATCCGTGGAAGCGGTCTCCGCGTCCTGCAATGGTATTTATCCCGCGACGTAAGGATCTTTGTACTGGCAATGTTTTTCTCAAAGGTTTCTAATTATATCCAATTAGATTTTATAAATTGTGGGGTTTGAAGCAAACAACCTATAGTAAACCAGAGTTTAACACAGATAACTATAACTCATGATAGTATCTTTTTTTTTTTACTGTAGTAAATAGCAGATTTTACGAACGTAAATCCATGTGTAATGAATTTAAATTGTTAGACTTTATTTTCTCAAATAGGATGATATTAAGTGGAAATATTATTCGTATATTCCTATATTGTTCCCTGTATAGAGTAGAAGACTATATACATATAAAGGCTCCAACTCCCAAAACAAGTTCTAGAGTAGATTTCCATGGTCAGTCAAAGTTTCAATGTATTTACCATATTATTATTTTTTTAATTTTTGTTTAAGTTATGACTTGCGTTTGATGTAAGTGAATATTTTTATCCATATATGTTACTGATTGTTAATAGTACAAATTATAATAGCAATACAACGATAATTGTTCTTTCTTTAAACATTCCTTCCATTTAATTTATTATATTGTATTTATTTTGTACTTGTATTCTTGCATAAAATAAATTTGTATTTAAGTTCGTATATATTTTTAAAACTTTTTATATGCCTTGAGTCTAGATTGGGCCACTATAGAGCTCAAAGTTTGACAAATGAAAACAATTCCTCTCAAGAGCAGAAGGGCTTCAAATAATTATACATGCACGGGGGAGTGCTCCACATACGAGCAGTTTCTGAAGCGAGGCAGGCTCTTGGCAGGCGGATTGGTGAGGCGGGCATGTCTCCTTTGGAGTCATCATTTTGCGGGTTCTATGGTCGATGCAGTGACCTTGTCAGCAAATAGAATCTAACATTCAGTCGAATGCTGACAGGCGTTTTTCCTTCTAGTTGTTAGGCCATTGTTTAAACTCTAAATTATCTTCGAATATTTCCGTTCCGATCATGACAATGAGAACACGGCGGATGTGACCGGTCGAAAGGGGATGCTTACTCCTCCATGGCATTTGATCCACCTCTGATGTTTTTAGGAGTCTTTGTTTGCTCTGCTCCCGATTTGTGTTGTTTCAATGATCTTTTGAGCTTGATTATCTCTATATTTTATGGTAGAGATATGCAAACATTCCCATATTTTGTGAACATTCAGTTTTTTATCAAACCGCTATCCATCATTACTTAGGTTTGTTACCGACTTTCACAGAAACATATCCGGTTGATAAAAACTCATAGACTGTGAGGATCCTCATGTGAGATACATAAACTCAGGACGGGCCTGTAGCAGCATTTATGAAAAGGGACAGCCACAAAAAATGACAAGCGAGAGAAAAAACATTTATTTACCTGTTAAAGTTTAGGAGGGGTTAGAATATTCCTCTATTGCAACAAAAAATGCGCGTGATAGAGGGGTTGAGTGGGGGAGGTGGGATTGGGCACGGTATTTGAATGATATTTAGGCTACGATAGAGTCTAAAGCAGCATTAAACAGTGGGACCCCCCTCCAAAAAGTGATGAAGATGATTAAATAAACATACAATTTTATTTCAAATTTAAGTGTTTTAACATGTCAGTATCGTGTTTCGTCTAATTTCACACAGTTAAACCCTTCTTAGTTATCATTCTTACCTTTACCGTGCAGCAATCTTGATAAATCTTTGAGGAACCTTTATTTACTTTGAAAAATTTATTTCTCTTAAAAAGCTGAAAAATTGACTTCTCGGCGTTATACACCAAAAATCAATAACGCGTCTCCATGAAATCATTGTCACTGGATCAAAATCGAAACGCCATTAAGATTTATATTTATAATAGGAATAAACTGGATTTTATTTTTTTTTAAAAAAAAAGACTGTTTCAAGAACATAGTGTCTACAATAAGTCAAACAGATATTCAGGATTTCTCATTCAAATCTTTAAAAAGAATCATGGTTCCAATTGTTGTCAATGGATACAAATTTACAAGAAAATATAACCAAAAGAAGCAGGATAGACATTTAAAGCCTTGAAATAAGTATTCCTATTTGTTGAAATCAAGAAATCATAAATATGAATTAATTTTTTAAAATGTTTCAGTTACTGTAGGAAATCATTTCTCAGAAATCATATGTGATTCATTTGAGATTTGTACTTGATTGGCTCTTGCCTTACTGATCACAATACTTTATAAGATCATCTTAATAATCAAATCTGCGAGAATTTGTTCTCAACTCATTTGCACGTTCGATTTGTTTCATATTTATAAGCAAAGTTTCATTAACTTGAATCGAAAACACACTTTAAGTTAAAGAGAAATAAGAAAAATACAAAATACAAAACAAAATACGTAATATTACGAGTGTTGTACAAAATCTATGAAGGACTAAAAAATTTATTTACTTAATAACATGTCATTTCTTAGCTCGTCTTAAAGGAAATAATGAATAACCGATGATTTTACAGATGGTAAAACTTCTAGTTCTCTCCTTCTTCAAACTTCAATGCTGTAATTATTCCTGAATAGCTTGTGATCAATGCGTTTTATATTTAACAGAGAAAACAAAGTTTATAACAGATAATTAAGTGTGTCGATTGTGCTTTTGAGCTTTTAAACGTTTTATCTATTAACAATATTTACGTCCATTCATATGTTGACCCGACGTATCCCAGTGAAGTCGAAATAAAAGACATCATAGAGTCTGTCACATCTGTTTCATATTTGGTTGTTTTGCTGCTTAGAGGATAAAGGCTAACTGACATTTAAACTGTATGACAAACGAGATGACAGCAGCTTTTCCATCGTCAATTTTTCTTGTTTAGGTAGTAATGTTCCACTATCACCTGCATAGGTTGTGTCCCCCAACTAACTAACTTATTCGATACTTTAGGGCATGCCCTGAGTATGTTCAGTTATTAAACCGAGACAGGCTACTGACAATTAAGTTGATGTTAGAGGGATGTTACAGGGATTTTAAAACCTCGTTTAAAGTCAGCATCTTTTAAATTCTATGGTCGTTATAATGAAAATTTTATCAAATGTAGTCTATTATTGCGTTATCATTTGACTGACATATTTAAAGATTAATCCGTCTACCTGATCACTACACAGGGCTAATGGGGTTTTACCAGACAAGAGGGGATGCTCATTCCTTCTAGGCACCGGATTCTACCTCTTGTAATTTCAGGCGCCCTTATTTTAGCCCTGTTCACAGTTCGTTTTGTTTAGTGGATTTATGAGATTGATTATTAATAGATATCTTCATCTTTTACATAAGTAAGTAACGACTTTCAGGATCAACCGATTCTAGAAACAGATAAGTGTGTTGATTGTGATTTAATATAAAGACTGACAAGATCAGCTGATTCTACATAAATTCAGATTATCCAACAATACCAGAGGCCGAGGCGAAAGATGAAAGCCTACAAAAATAATATTGACATTATTAACACCGTATTTAACTACAAAAATTTCGCATTATGAACAACTAAAACATCATTGATGGCTAAGTTGATGCATGAAAAATATATATATCAATGGGAAAAAAGAAAGGATTATAAGTTACACAGCGGCAAAGGTCTGCAAATGACTCACGGTTTTTCACAGATGTATCCAGGCAGGTGAGAATGATGTCCATGGTGAACATGAGGGGCACATACGTCATCAGACCAGCCTATTATCGTGTGGTTGAAAAATTTGTAGGACATACAGTTAGCCGTGTTATTTCCGTCCGGCTGTCCTGGGCCCCATCCATTGTAGGAACCCACTGTTCCCCCAGCTATCCACTGCCACGTTCCCTCCACAGCAAAGTCACTTCCTCCAATCCACCAGTGGGTCAGTTTCTCACCTCGAAATCGAAATGGCTTAATTTTTCTCTTTTTTGTTTGATTTTTCTAATTTATCTAATATTTCAATTTCTTTAGATATTCATATTCATGAACAGCGATAGCGCAGACCAAAATATTACTAAATTGTCTTCACAGAAGTTCATTATTTCTGTTTTGAACAAATCAATGTTTTTGTGAAAACATTTGCATGATCTTTGTTTTGCATAATAAAAGAAAAAGAAAGTTTTTTTTCAAAAATGAAAATAATAATTACTTGCAAAAACGTTGAGGAACTGTTTGATAAAATTATCTTTAGCTTCTGTGTCAACAGTCACTAAATGAGCACCCATACTGCGACAGGCGTTCTACAGGAAAACACAAGAAATATCATTTAAAGCAGCAATCTGTAAGCACCCATACTGTGACAGGCGTTCTACAGGAAATATCATTTAAAGCAGCAATCTGTCTGCTAGATTCTGTTGTCTACGATTGCGTTCTGATGTAAAACTAGATGTTTATTTCAACATGCACGTTTTGTATCTCAAATGACATAAAGTGTTTTTTTAATTAAAGAAAAAAAAGGAATTCAAAATGTTTTTTTTTAAGTAAGGAGCAAGTTCTTCTCCTTTTACTTGCTTACTTGAATTATGCTTAATATTCTATTTATGATCATGATTGACTGGGTTTTTTTTATGTTTTATAACTAATTATCAGTACATCAATATCTTCTATTGACTAAAAACATGACGACTCTCTCATCACATAAAAGGACTTTTTTCTAAAATTATGACAATTTCGAACAGAAGATGGTAAAATAAGCTTTATTTGAAGGACATAAATCAAATATCCCTGAAGAAGATGATTACTTTAAAAAAGAAATTTTCTAATTAGTTATTAAATAATATCAGAGTTAACCGAAAGTCCTTCTCCATTAATATGCCTTTACTTACAGCTGCATCTGTCCATGTTTGTTGTGTTTTCGTGAACTGAATACAGTTGGTATCAAATTCCACCCAATCCAGAGGGCATTTAGAGTCTACTACCACCAGGACAACTTTCGAGAGAAGAAACATTCTAAAATAACTAGTAATATTCGCATAAACACCTATATCAGAAGAAATGTACTTCAAAAAAATGTGTTATAAGAGCTTGGAAAAACCTGATCAGAATTACATTGTATTTCCATTTACCGATAGCTACATACTTTAAAATATCTGAAATATAGTTGATATTATTTATTTGTATATGGCGTTTTTACAGCCGTTTGGTTATGTATCTGTAGTTATCTGTTAAGAATTGATGAAGGTTTGAAAAGAGTTTATATATAAAGTGTTTTCCTTGAATTCCTCGTGAGGTTCTCTTCACCGAAAAATACTATGTTTGTCTCATTTCCTCTAATCCTTTTATCAACATCATTACATCCATTTCTTACAAAAAATAGAATTTTGATTAACGTTGTACTCTGAAAATATGTTGTTTTTCTCCTAATCCCAAATGGACAAAGTGACATTTTCCAAAATTAATATGTTATTTTTGTTATCATATATTCTTATGGTCTTATGTTATCTATCAATAATTTATAGGATATACATGTATCTATCATTGATACCATTTTACACTGTTCATAAAAGCATAACGTTTGAAAAGAATGAAAGCACTGATGCTTTTTCGACAATGAATGCATTATTTTGTATTATAACTGAAGTGTAATAGTTTAGATAGATTATTGGCATTTAAATTTAGTGGTCATTTGTAATCTTTATTTTATTGCAAAGTTGCAATAGAGACATAACACACATCTCTTTATTTTTCTTTTTGCCTGATAAACTTAACTCATCATTGACGCTAAACCTTCAAAATGCAATCGAAACGGAAGTGCAGAGTCTCTCTGCTTTTCAATTACTTGATCAATTACTCCCTGACCAGAATTTATGTAATAGGTTCAGGTTTTCTTAAAACATTTTTATCGTATGCCATTATATCTTAGTGTTTCTATGTATCCATTGCAATTTCCTTGTTTGCTATTTTTCAAAACGTTGATTCAAAGATTATACGTTCTGAGCAGCTTAATGAATGTATACAACAATCTCAGTTTTCAGGTGCTTTGCACATAAAAAACAGTAACCATTGAATTAAAATACTTCTATTAGAATTTATTTACCTACTTGCTCAGAATAGCAATTCAAAGATCATCACATGAATTTATTGATAAGCAGGAGGGATATTCTAAAAACTACACCGGGTTACGAACAAAAACATAAAAAAGATGGTTATACAAAGTTACTGCACTCCTAGAAGCTTAAAAAAACAATGAGTAAAATTATGTGTATGAAATTCAGTTTACCTATAGAGACAAGCAGAGATGCTGAGAGAGACGCCATGTTCTGTAGAATGCCCTGGAAATCGTGATGTGTCTGACGGAATTGCTCGTCACTTATCTAGAAAATGTGACATGTTCACATACTACTAGTTCATAGTGGTCTATCTAGTTATTAAACTTGTTTCTACAAGTTCGTGTACACTTTTAAGATATGAGGAACTTATTTTATAGACATGCTGAGTTAATGCTAAACGAAAATTTAATTTTAATGATATAAATAGTTAAAATATTAAAAATTGTTTGGTATAAAAGCTGGAAAAGGATTATTTATTCACGATGTATATAATACATTTTAGGCAGGTATTACCTACTGCGAAGCTCCTCTTAACCTTAAGGGTCAAGCCTCAAAGTACCACCTTTTCCTCTATAGCTACTCCTCTTTCTTAACGTAAAATTGAGGTATTTGTTCAAATTTTTCGATGAACAAACCTTTTGTAAACACAACTTTCTTTTTTTTAAAACTTTTTTTAACTTTGTCAGGAAGGTTTCCTTAACTAAATAAAAACACTACAACTGCAACGCAGAACATCTGGTATCCATATTTTTCGTCTAAAAGTATATGAAATGTATGTTCGGAGTTAATTTGATAGTATTTCAATAACGATAGGAGAGTCAACATTTCCAAATATTAGGGGTCCGAAATTCTAGGATTGTCCGGTAAAATCGTGCACAATTCTTTAATGAGCGAAAATCAAAGCTGATTTCTAACTTTTCCCTAACCTTTAATAAATTAATTAGCAATTTTCAAACAGATTCTGTTAAAAAAGGCAAAACATATGGTATTTTATATATTTTGATAAGTGATACAACCTTATGGTGTACAGATAATAACTTCAAATTGCCCCTACTGCAACGTCATGGATTTTTTTCTATTTAGATAATCTGTAAAAAAAAAAAAAAAAAAAAAAAAAAAGTTGGAACAACCTACACCATTTGATGAATTTCATTCTATAGGCTGGCGAGTGACCGATATTGCATTTACAAGAGACCTTCTGAAGTTTTGCAGCAGTGCATGTGTTATTAACGGTACACTCACTAGGTACAACTAAACAGTTAGTTTTCGATTGTCTGCCTTGATACCGTCTTTCATTACTGCTAGTAGCCGTTTATTTGTATATTTTTGTCTATCATAGGAACTTTTGCCACAGCTTCCTCTTAAAAGCCCCCAATGCCATATATACATTAAAGGTCTAGTGGTATTCTTATATTTGTCCCTCTTCTGAATTCATTAAAAAGTTTGTACAGGTGTCGTTCCTAAATCTGCATTTAATTTAACAGTTCTCAGATGCACCGTAACGTCATCAAAAGTCGCCCATTTTTCATCAATTGTGATTCCTTTTACTCGGAAAACTGCCAAAAATTACGCGAATGCCTGGAAATTCTCAAAATACACGACATAATAGAAAGTGTCTTAAAATATGATAATTTTTATTGCAACCTGGTCTATTTGTGTTTTATTGTGAAATAATGCCTTCGTGTTCCTGGTGATTTTTTTGGACATGCACCTTAGGTCCAAGCTTTGTGTGCTTTCATATACTCTCATATCAGAATTCTTTTTCTTGTCTATATTTTATTACAAAAAGTGATGCTCAAATATGATAGATAAACACTTAATTGTCTGAAAATTTCAACAAACTGATTTTTTTTCTTTTTTTATATAAAAGAAAACACGATATCCACAATTCTATCAGACAACCTTCGTAAATTCTCTTTTTGATTCAACTAACACATATTGTAGTTATACGTTTAACATTTACCGAATCTTCAATATTATTAGACATTGAATTTGAATCCCATTTTTTAAATACACTATAATTTCCTCACTACTGAGAGAGAAAACTGTAATAAAACAGTTATATTATGCAACATGTTATGATAAATTGTTACAAAAGGATACGCAGTTAGAACAAATTCATTTTGAATAGTCTCCCTCTTGTCTTTATTTCCACTCATCTATAGATACATATAGATGAAACACATATTTCACATGTGTATATCTACACATATTTAATACATGTACAAAATATATGTTAAACACATGTGAAACCAAACATATATTTAACACATGTGGATATTTTTCCTGTGTACCTCTTAATTTAGATAATTGTATTAATTCTTATTGAACTTTCAAACGCATGGATTTAATTCGACATGCTTTGTCATGAGTGCTAATTAATATTTTGTTTATAGAAATCTAGGTACATATTGATCTGCAATGACTTTAATTTGCTAGTAGTATGTTAGTGACCTTGTGGAATACCATGTTGCCATTATTGTTTATTTAGGTTTCATTTATTTGATTTTACTTAATCTATGTTCCATATGTTTTACTTAAGTACATCTAAATGCCAAAGATTTTATTGTAATCGATCCTAGTTCCATAGGTCCGATTGCAGTTCCAATGTTGTTCGGCTTTTCATCAGTATTTCATGAGTAATTCTAAATTCAATGAAATTTAAACTCTGTTTTATGTGTTTCTCTGATATCATTCTAAGCTCCATACAGGTAGGTTCGACAGAAGTAAGTCATCGTTTGCTCTTATCATCCAATGTCCCACTGGTTTATTCTACTTATCATCCAATGTTCTACTGGTTTATTCTACTTATCATCCAATGTTCTACTGGTTTATTCTACTTATCATCCAATGTTCTACTGGTTTATTCTACTTATCATCTAATGTTCTACTGGTTTATTCTACTTTCAAGTCAATCTGGTTCTTCACTCAGGTACTCTGAAGTTCATATTTAAAATGACACCTGAGTTCCTCATTGACAATATCTGTGTAGTGTGTGGAGATTGCTCAAAAAAAAATGTTGGATTTTCGATGAGCACTAATTGTGCTGCATTTTTAGCCGACGTGTTTTATATTCGTCTGAAGCAGAATTTATTCAAGAAGAAAAAACTCTTATCTTCACCTTTTTCATCAATCTAAATACCACTTTGCTGATCACCGACTGTTTACTCTCAGATACAATAACATATAAATACTACTCTGTGTGTGGTTTTATTTAGCTTATCTAGAGCATATAAAATTCTCATTATGGGTCATACAATCAGCCAATCACAGATGATGGGGCTCTGTAAATAGAAAATGATAATTGAAGAAAAAATACATAAATATGTTCCTCCAAAAGGACTTACATTGGATCTCAAACTTCTTTAAGGTTATTTTAAATGTATAGAAAGAGGTGCACAAATATAAACCTATTAAGTCCCAAGTTGTTAGTTTTCACTGCATGTAAATTGAAATAGAATAGTTTTTTTTATTAGTAACTTTTGCTTTTTTTTTTTTTTTTTTTTTTTTTTTTTTTTTTTTTTGGGATATCTTTGTTCCCAATAAAGAATTGCCAATTTGTCTACTTACGGGTGTTCACATATGTAGTAATGGGGCCGGGCACAATTGGAATCGATCCACATAGAATTATCTCCATTGAATACCTGGAGCAGACAGTCGTGTGTTCTGTTTCCGTCCGGATATCCGGGTCCCCATTGGTTAAAGGATCCTATTCCTGTTCCGGTCTCACTCCATCGCCACTCTCCCTCTTTGATGTAATCTGTCGCACCAAACCAGTAAGTCGACTGATGGAAATCTGTTAAAACATTAAGAAAATACCTGCATTAAACAGGGATAATGGTGATAAATTCTTCATTGTGATAATTTCATCATAGTGATCATTTCATCACAGTGATAATTCTATCATTGTGATAATTTCATCATTATGATAATTTCATCATAGTAATAATATCATCATAGTGATAATTTTGTCATTGTGATAATTTCATCATAGTGATAATAACTTACCGTGAGGACAGTGATAATTTATTTTTATATTTCCAGACTTACCTGGAAGGACACATCCAAGGAACTTTCAGAAAAATTTGAAAACACAAAATTTTAAAAAAAAATCAATAACATCAAAACTTACGATTTTTCAACACTTTATACAACCATTCCTCACGATAAATGAAAGTCCAGGCTTTTTGACATGGTAGACAGCTGCTTTTTCAATAAAAATGGAGCTCGTAAATATACTTACCTTGTCATTGGTCATTTGCAAAATTATTTTGTTGAAAACATTTTGATTATACACAAAAGTACTTTGAAGTTGATATTAAAAAGATGCTTAAGTTTCTGATTGACAATATCTATGTTGTTTTTGGAGATCAGGCCTTCCAACAATCTGTTGGAATTTCCAAGGGTACCAATTGCACTCCATTATTAGAAGACCTTTTTTATATTCATATGAAGCAGAATTTATTCAAAATCTTACACATGAGAAGAGGAAAACAATTGCTGTGGCCTTCAACTCCACATTATCGACGACGTATTATCAATTAACAAAAGTTACTTCCATTCAAATGTCGACTCGATATATCCCAGTGAGCTTGAAATAAAAGATACCACAGAGTCTGACACATCTGTTTCATATTTGGATATTTTACTAGAAAAGACTTCAACGGAAACCTAACAATAAAGCTTTATGATAAACGTGATGACTTCATTTTTTCAATCGTCATTTCCCTTACTTATGTAGCAATATACCCTTATCACCTGCATATGGGGTTTTTGTCTCCCAATTGATTCGATGCTCTACGTATGAACAATTTCGAAAACGGGGCAAGCTACTGACAATCAAGTTGATGAAACAAGGATATCAACAGTCTCGCTTGAAGTCATCATTTCGTAAGTTCTATGGTCGATACAATGACCTTGTCAGCAAAAATATTTATCATTAAGTCAAATGCTGACTGACGTTTTTCATGCTAATTGTTAGGCCATTATTTTCACACTGAATTGTCTACGGATTTCTCCGTTTTTTTTCGATCGTGACAAGAAGCACAAGGCAGGTTTTCACTCCTCCATGGCACTTGATCTAACCTCTGATGTTTTTTGGACATCCGTGTTTGCTCTGTTCCCGATTTTTATTGTTTAAATGGACTTTGAACTTAAATACTTTTCGTTATCTCCATATTTCATTGGCAGGATTTACGATAATAGATATAATTACCGGAAAAGGTTCTGATAAATTACCTAAATTTCATTGTGGTTAGCAAGAAATATCCTTTTTAAAAATGTAATATTAAGGGTGAAGGGCAGTTAAATATTACCATAGTGATCTACAGTCAGCAACTTTCCGATTTGTGAAGAAAGACAGTGACGTATTGTTATACCTTTCATTAAGGGCAATGGTAAGTTGCATCACATATTAGTAAGCCAGGGTGATCAATTTTCATTAAAAGTAATGCTAAATTGCCAAACTTCCGATGGAGAGCACCTATAGGAACATTTTGAATAGTCATACTTACAATTAAGGTCAATGATGAATTGCCAAACTCTTAAAATTATGTTGATGTAGACATAATTACAATAAAGGTTCGTGGTGAATGGTCACACTTACGACGGAGAGCACTCAGCAACATGTTGATGTAGACATTATTACAATTTAGGTTAGTGAGGAACTGTTACACTTACGATGGAGAGTACTCAGGAACATGTTGATATAGTCTGACTTTTGTTGATTATCCACTGTTACCAGATAACTTCTGTTCATATTGTGACATTTTGCCTGTCAATCAAAAACTATTTTAAAATGTGTAATTTGTATGAATCATATTTATATATTTTCAACAACATTTCTTTCCTTATTCTTAAGAGACATTTCTGTGTTTTCATTTCAGGTGTCTTATGATAATCTAGCTAAACATCGTTTGAACTGAGCTTAAATTTGTTTTTATTAGCTTGTCTTGTGCAAGAAATATCGTGCTTTGTAAATCATTTTCAAGGAGAACAGTAGGTATAAAGGAAAGGGATAACTTCATTTTAATTCATGCATGAACGTTATACGTAGCAGTTATTCGTGCTGCTATGCATTTGCCAAGGAGTTCATTTCAATTTTGAAAAAAAGGGAAAAAAGAACGCTTTACAGCAGCATCTGCCCAGGTGTGTCTATCATGACTGAAGTACAAACATTCTCCGTTAAACTCAGCCCAACCCAAGCCACAATCACCGAAACACACAGTAAGTACTGGAAAATAATTCAGGTATCACAATGTAATATCAGAAACAGAGTTAATTCTACTATGTATTTTAAAGGACGGAACAATTCGTGAAATGTTTTCGAGTTAATTTCGTTACAAATGTCAAATTGAAACACACAAATTTCAATTTATGTTCATTCGAGGTAAATTTCACGTAACATTTTCCTTTTTGCCATAATGAAAGATCTCTAACACAAGAAAGGCCTATATTCTCTGATTTCTTACCACTGATAATATCTAATTAATGAATTAGAGACTAATTAATAAATGACAAAGAGACAAATTAAATGTTGAGATTACATACCAGAGAGGAGAGTGAGTACGGGAAGGGTCGCCATCTTGTGTGTGTGTCGTCTGTTCTACAGAGGGCCCTGTTCGTGTCTTTGTCAGTCTAATCCTGTACCTTATCTTTGTACTTCAGAAAGTACAACCTAACGTGAAAGGGTTCCACTGACCGCTCTAATAATCTAGATCAGAAACAAGAATTAGTCTAGATAACTCTTACACAGGGAATTATGTATCACATTTTCTGTTATTGATAAAATTCTCAATGATTCTCTGCTTTTTTACATTCATATGACCTGTATGACTCAACATCACAAAAGTGAAGTGTCTGGTCCCTAGGCCTTTAAAGTAAGAAAAAATAAAAGAATAAGTCATATTTTGAATAAGTATCTTTTTTTGTTGTTCAACAAACAGCTTATTTAAAATCAATGCTTATATTCGATGAAAGCACGATGAATTTTTTTTTTCCAAAACTAATTCAAAAGATTTCTAACGGAAATTTTGACTTAAGTATTCTCTACGTTCATTGTCATTCATAAATTGCAAAATTTCAGATAAAAATCTCTTTAAATAAACAAAGGCTCCAGAACTTACGGATGCTAGTTTTTAAACCGAGGCAGCTACTTACAAATAAGTAGATTTTACAGGAATTCACCAACCTCTTTTTAAGTTTTTTTTTTCGATGTTTCTATGGTCGCAATAATGACTTTGTTTGTAAATAGAAGCTACCCTTGGGTCTTTTTTTTATCTGACATCTTTTATACCATTTGTTAGATCATTACTTTTTATATAAATTTGACCACGGATTTTTCCATCAACCTGATCAACATGTAGGTCTCACGACGGGTTTGACTGGTAGAGAGGGGATGTTGATTCCTCCTAGGCACCTGATCCCCACCTCTGAAATTTCCAGGAGCCCGTGTTTTATGCCTTGCTCACAAATTTGTATTATTATTATGTAAAGATTTTTTACTGTTTGTTATCTTCATCTTTGTCATTAATAATTCTGAAAATCCTTCGCTTTTTTGACAAAAGACAGAAGTATTTTAAATGTCTTCTTTGTGACAATCGAACAATTAAGGAAATCAAGAGAAATGGAGGGAAAACAGTTAAAACAAGTACACATTGTTAATTTTCTTGGAATCAAATCTTCATTTTCAATAAGACTGCAAAACAATTTATTGTGCAGTGAAATAGGACTTTATAGGTGGAAAGCTTGAGATAAGAATTAACATTCTTCTCTCATTTTCTTTTCCAGCCCTGATAAAAACAAAATAGAACAATTGTTAGAGGTTAATAGAGGTTAGAGGTTAATAGAGGTTAGAAGTTAATGAATCAAATGTAAAAGGTGAAGATAACAAACAGTGAACAATCTCAAAAATCCAGTAAATAAAAAAAAAGACGAATTTTTGAACAGATCCGGACCCTCGGAAATTCCAGAGGTGGAATTAGTTACATAGGAGGAGTAAACATCTTCTGTCGACCGGTCACACGAGCTGTGAACCTTGTGTATAGATCAGGTAGACATAATATTCCGTAGGCAAATTTAGTATAAAAACAAAGACTCAACGATTGGTTTAAAATTTGTCAGTCAAATACGACCCAATGATAGGTTATATTTGCTAACACGATCATATAACGACCAAAGAATTTACGAAAAGCTGATTTTAAACGAGTGGACAAGAGATATTTACTCCTCTTAAGTACCTGATCCCATCTCCTTTCCAGAGGTCCATTTTTATGTCCTGTTTCCAGATTCGTTTGTTATCTTCCCCTTTTTTCATTTTATCTAATTGTTTTATGATCAAAGATCTTTTATTTCTTAAACAGACAGTTCTCTATTATAAGGATGAAAATCCAAAAATTGTATGTTTAGTTCCTTTTTCGTATTCGTTTTTAGTCTTTTTTCAACTGAAAAGACAAACTAATAGACGTGTTTTGAAAACATTTATTTTGTACAAGGGAGTAGTTTTTATTTTCGTCCTATGATGTTTGAACCTCCGCTGAAAAGTCTGGAAAAATAGATAATAGTGTAAGACATATTTTGGCAAGTTATTCTTCATTTTTTATTACGATATCACATGTACTTTATTTTATCAAATCTTGGGCATTAAACAGTAAAATAAAAATTTGAATCATTCCTATTTTGGCCGAAATTAACAAGATAAATGGACGGTGAGTCGGACAGAAAACGGAAGAAGACCCATGCAGTCAAGAAGATCCATGCAGACATTCCAGAAAAAATGGTTCAATAAATAGTAAAAGAGAAAGTTCACCTAAACTGACAAATGTAATTATGGCGAGTGGTGCATCTTGCGTCTTTCCAGTATATGTCCGTATTATTGTGATCGAATCCAACAAGCATGCAGTTTTCTGAAGAGTTTCCGTTAGGGCTTCCTGGGGCCCAGTTTGTAAAAGGGCCGATCCTTAGGTTTGTTTCCTCCCATCTCCATTCTCCCTCCACTCCAAAGTCGTTACCACCCACCCAGAAGTTAGCCATACCTATAGCTAGGAGATTTACCATTTAATAATTACTCATCAGTAGTTTGTCATTACTCATCTATACCTAGGAGATTATGTATCTGGTAATTGGTCAACAGAAAATTGTCACATCTCTAGGATTTACCATCTTGTAATTAGTCAACAGAGTTTATCTAGAGATATACATGTTAGAAGAACCGTGTAGTAATGGTCAAACTTTAAATTGTATCAAGTACTAGTATACTAACTGGCAAAATCTTTCTATGACAGAGAATATCTATTACATGTATAGTTATGTGGTAGCATTCTTCTTTCACCTGCACATGGTGGCAATCTCTCTCAGCTAGTTTGGTATTCAAGAGGATACTCTGAGTACGATCAATTTTAAATCTAGACAGGCTACTGAAAAATAAGCTGATTTACAGGGCTATCAACGATTTTGTTAAAAGTTAGCATTTTGCAAATTCTATGGTCGTTACAATGACTTCATTTACAAATATATATATGTGTAAGATATTGTTCGGTATAATTTAACTGACGTGTTTCATGCTAATTGTTAGTCCATTGTTTTTATGATTATTTTGACAACGAATTTCTTCGTTTACCTGATCAATACAGAGGGCTCAGGGCGGGTGTGATTGGTTGACAGGGGATGCTTACTCCTCCAAGGCACCTGATCCCACCTCTGGTGTTTCCAGGGGTTAGAAATTTATCCTGTTCATATTTTTTTTTCTTTTTGTTTAAAGGATTTATGATGTCAATCACTGTTCGCTATCTTAATTTTTTTCATTGTATCAAAAACTATCAACCACGCTACACCCGGAATACTGTATAAGTGTACAAATTCAAAAACATATATATTTCTAAAATAGATTTCAAAGTAATAGCATTTGTATGAACCTGAAAAAACAAATACGAGGGTTGTCCCAGAAAAACGCGAACTTTTTGAATATTTCAGAAACTATTCGCCCAAAACTACTAATGTTTTGCACGTTGTTAGAAAATGATATTTTCGGTATTTTGACAAAATATTTTAGGCTTGTGATGTCTTAAGTATATAAAAACAGCATTTAAAGGGTGCTAAATATAGGTAGTCGGGGCACGGCAATATTTTTGACTTTAAAAAGAAGCATATCCAATAATGTTTTCTTTATTACCAGGCTATAAGGAAATATAATGTCACAAAATTTACCTCCATAAATACGCATTAATCTGGTGTACTCGTTTACAAAAATTCATCAATATGACATCATTAATGACAAATATATGACGTTATATACCAAAACACTTTTATTTAGATATTGTCAAAAATGGTGACGTTTGGCGATAATGTGGAGCACCAAATTATTAAGCAATAATGTGTTGAGCGGGATATGACTCCTGCCCATAAGATAAAAGAGATGTTAACGATGGAAAAACGGAAACATATATCTCGGACACAGGTTTATCCCTAGTCGAAGAGGTTTGGGGGTTGCTTGACTGGTTATCCGATAGAAGATCGTTCTGTAGACCAACAAAAATGAAGACAAACTGAAAGTCAGGAGCTGGGCGTCATAGGCCTAAGTGAAGGCCGTCGTTAAACAATGTGGACTGTTAGGTTTATTATCGGGATTGAGAAATTATGAACTAAAAGAATTAATTCTGTAATCTTTTGTTAACACTAGTATTTGAGATGTATTACTTGGTAAATAAAAGAAAATCAAATACAGTGCCGAATTTATACTTAAACGAATTTTATCAGAAGCACATTTCCAAAGCAAATTCACAAACGCCACGGGCTACGATTTGACGTCGTCAGTGTTGCGCCGACAGTTATTTTGTAAGATTCCTTTACCTGAGATGGAAATATTATTTATATATTTCATTGAAAATTTTATGCATTATTCAAAAACTGTTGGTCATGATGTATGCCAATTTTTAACTTTAAAGTATTATTGAAACAAAAGATATTGAAAAAGTTCGCGTATTTCTGGGACAACCCTCGTATTTAAGATAATGACTTATTTTTCAGTACAATAATCATATTAACATAACAAAATGATTATTAATGTGATATCACATACAGAAACATAACAAAATATAAATAGGTTTGTATGCTTGTAAACTCGAAAGTTTCATTTTTAAGATAAAATATATTTGAAATTAATATACAAAGAGATTAATAATATATAATTTGTTTCTAGGGATGCACGTAACAAATTGTTACATGAATCTATATAAAAAATGACCTAATACCTCATATGGCTCACTTACAACAGAATGACAGAATTTACTGAATCAATTATTACTTCTTTACAATGACGTCATATCTTTTTGGCTACTTTCATGACAATCCAGTGGTCTAGAAAATTTATATGAGGTCAATGATCAAATTATTGAAGCATGTTGTCTGGAATGCTTTTTTTTTCAATTTTTTAAAATTCTTCGTTGCATGTCATTCAATTATTTGAGATAATACATGAGCTTTTAACACAGGTGATATTTATAAATTGATGTTTTCAATCACATGGAATCTTAACTTTATGATTGATATTGCCAAAAAAAATTGTGTAACAAAAATGAAAATTTAAAATCTATTCGGAATTTCCTCTGCATCACCATAAATTTACCTTGTTCTTGCATATTTTTTTTTCAAATAATTTTAAATTTTTCAATTGATATAGAGTTATAACATGGCTATTTTTAGAACAATTCTTGGTTTTACATATTGTACTTTACAGCATTCCGTTTCAGTAAACTAAAACCCTGAGTAAACGTCATCCTTAATAAATTCTCAGTTTATACTTACTAGGACTCGCTAAAGCATTAGAAATAGTTTTGATAATGGACATCTTTTCGTAGTTATCAATTGTCACAAGTAGTGAATTATTGTTTTGTTTACATTTTCTCTGAAATAAAAATAAATGAAATCATATTTCATACAGAAATTATGTAATAAAGTCAGGCAGTTATATGTTGAACAGTACTCAACTATGGTTTTTAATTAATGTTTGGGGATAGTATAAAGCATTTGTAATTTAAAGTTTGTAAATTCAGAAAATATTTAGATCTTGATATGATATAAACTCTATAATTCACAACTGTTTAATGGCGAATCTTAAAAATGACATACTGCTGCATCTATCCAGGTCACGTGGTCTTTTGCAAACATCAGGCAGTATTCACCTACACCAGTCCAGCCTCTGGGGCAGGAAGTGTAAACCCCAGCCAACACTGCAGAACCAAAATAAGAGGAATGCTACTAACCGGATAGTATTTACAATCTTTCGAACAATAAACAATTATAAGTACATAACATATCAACAATAAACAATAAGGTACATAAAAGATTCTTACCAATAAACAGTACACATATTTTCACCAGGTCTGCCATTGTTGTAATGAACTCTACGATAATACAGGTCACGAACCAGGCTTTGTTTATCTGTACATTGGTGCCAAAGGCAGGTAAAAATGTTATTGCTGAAATATGGGTTATATTTATGCAGTATCATAATAAATTTTTAGTGACAGATTCCCTCAAAAATCTTTACTGAAGATTACTAAATCTTTAATATTTCGATTAGTAAATCTTTAATATTTCGATTTACAAGGATATTTGAATATTCTCTAATGAGCTTTCTTAATTAACCATGAAGTTATGTACCAAGAATTCCTACCATGAAACTGTTGGAAGAAAATGTGAAGATAACGAAATACTGATAAAATGCATAAACCCATTTAAGAAAGCAAATCGTGAACAGGGCTCTAAACATGGATTCTTGGAGAAATTAGAGGTGGGATCGGGTGATTATGAGGAGAAAGTATCCCCTGTTGATATGTCACACCCGCCGTGAGTCCTCTGTACGAGTGAGATAAACGGAATAATCAGTAGTAAAATCGGTATAAAAAGAATGGGCCTAACAACTGATGGGAAAATGCTGCCTTCAAAGGTGAAAGTAGAAAACCCTGTAATATGAACTTAATTGTCAGTGGCCTGTCATGGTTTAAAAACTTATCGTACTCGGATCAAATCAGCTGGGAGAAGTAAACACTATATGTAAATAATTGTGGAATATTACTACATTAATAGGGGAAGTTTAATAAGAGGGAAGAACTATTGTCATACAGTTCGTTATTAAGTTAAATTGTTAATTGACCCATATTGTCTGTAGTCAGTAAAACATCCAAATATAAAAGAGATGTGGAGACTCTGTGTTGTCTTATATTTCGAGTCACTGGGATATGTCTAGTTGACATAATTATAAATGCTATTCATGCTATTTATTTTTGAAAAAAAAAGTGACTAGATTTTCCAAAAAAAAATTGGGAGTTTTTTGAGAATACATATATTGAATTTATATTTTAAAAAATATATATATATATATATTATATAAAATGATATGGGATAAAAATGAATTAAGAGCCTTGCTTTGTAATTATTTACAGAATTTCTTTAACTTTGCAATGATAAAAATATTCGTCATGGATGCCATGTTAAGATGTCCTGAAGTATGAATTATAGCATTTTTCAACATGTTCAGAGTCCCATCATTTTCAAGTTTTTAGGATTGCAGAAAAGTAACAGTTAATGTTTCAAAAAAGTGGAAGACTTGATGTCATACACAATAAAAGTATTTGAGGAAAAAACTACAATTCTCCATCTCTGTTTTCCATGATGTGTGTATTAATCAAAACTGAACCAAAACTTTTGTGTTTTTATGCTGTGTTACCATGGCAACAATGAGATTTATTATTTGAATAATATTGCTATAACCTATTTACATAAGGCGAACTTTTTGTATTGTCGCATTATCATTGGTCATTAAGTTTAGTCATGTAATTCCTATTATAAGTAAATTGTGAGTTTTCTCCGGCATAATTTGAAATTTATGGCAAATGAAGCCATTGATTACCGCCTATTCATAGATTGTAAATAATTGTTCTTAAAAAGTGTAATTATTTATTTTGATATATTTCTCAATATATTTTAAGGAGAAAACCAATACTTTAACAAACTCATACTGGCCCGAACTGTAAATACTCAGGGACATGGCAAATGTATATTCCCAAAAAATATAATAGGTTTAGCAGGGAAAGAATTTGCTATGAATAATTATGCTCTTGTGTGAGGAAAAATCAGCAGGGAAATCAGAAAAAATGTAGAATTATTTTGAATATTACATCTGGATACACCAGCATATAAAATAGCAAGAAAGACAACTCTCACGGTCCCATTTGGTTAAAACTAAGACCGTGTTATAAGAGCACTATTTATAACTATGACCCAAGAAATATGCACAAATAAATGATTCTAATTAAATCTGTCGTACTTTCCAGATTTAAAATTCAAACAAATGAAACATTTTCTTAATTTTTATTCTATTCAAAACTCAAAATTCTCAAACTTTGTAATACAAAATTAAAATACTGATTCAAACTGCGCAATCTTCTACTGTTCTGAGCCTCAGGCTCAGCCAGGCTACAACACGTCCATCAATGAACACATCTGGTAAGGAAATGTCAACGACATTTCCAGTTCTGTAGTATTTGCGGAATATTTTCATGTGACGACTTTTTTTTCAAAACTTCTATGCCTCCTCAGATCGACCTCCTCTGTTGAACTGAACCAATCATGATACAACACATCTAATTGTATCAACTAGTTCTTCTGCGTTTAATTTGTTTTGATTTTATCATTTTCTAAACCACCCTATGTGCAGTTTTTGTCCCCTGTTGTTTGTCTTTCCTCTGTTGTGTAGGAACATCAAGGTTATCCTGTAAAGTGAACACATTTTTGGAAATTTTGTTCTCGCTTGTTTTCTCGTCGTCGTTGTCATCATCGTCATCTAAGACACCAGGAATATCCTCTATCTAATAATAAAAATAGTAATAATACTTTATTTAAAGATGGTAACCTGATTAGTGCAAGCACTATCTAATAGAAATTAATTGTCAGATCCAGGTAAACACCTGCATCAAAATATATGAGTAAGCTTGATTTTAGGACTTGAATAATAGTATATTATCGTTTTGATAGATCACAATTCGAACAGCAATTTTTTTTTATTTTTTTCAATCTTTCAGATATTGAGTCCTCATCCACCCCTACCTACAAGACGTAATTAACTGCTATTGAGCTCTTTTCTCACTAACATACTGAACCAACTTACCTATGAATTAATATCTCATTAACTTACATTGGGCCAGTCACAAACTGATACAGACAAACTTACATGTAACTTCCTATCTCATATAAAGTCCCACTCACTGACATTTTCCCAGCCTTCTTCACAAAATAAATTTTAATCGTTGTCTGTTTCATAAACTCAAAACTAAAATTAGACACTTGATTACAACACTGAGGTACATATTGAGACTGAAAACAAACCAATTTCGTAACTATACTCAACGAATTTCCATACATTCTCACTGAAATCTAACCCCTCTACTTCATCACTGCAGTAATATTAATAAGTAACTGATACTTCATCTTCGCTAGCCAGGGGTTTCTGATACGCTACTCTCCTAATAAGCCCTTGGCATACGGTGTTAAAGAAAGTTGGGATTTTTTTCTCAAGTTGTGATTGGAGTTGATCGACATCGTTCGACCAATCAGAAATTGTTTTTTGTAAATGACGATATTTGCGTTCGGGATATATCTTGACTCTGAAAAACGCAAGTAAACAACGATCCGTAAGATAACATGCCATTCTATGAATAGCTATATGGTGTCATCCAACATCTTAAGCTGCGTGCAAAATATGTGATTAAGAATCTATACTGAAGATGTAGATTTGCATTTTAACATGTTTAAATAACAAATTAACATAACTCAATACCTTCTTGTTAATTATTCTTTAAAAAACATTATTGTTTTTAAATACGCTTTTTATTTCTGTCGATGACGCAATCTGTGAGAACCTGGTAAGAATTGTGATCACGTGACGAAAACAATCCCGTCTTTTGTCAGCACCGTATGCCAAGGGTTTATGAGGAGAGTAGCGTATCAGAAACCTTTGGCTAGCGAAGATGCTGATACTTAACCCTGCTTAGCTCGTCACTACATAATACTTCTGTCGTCCTTGTTAAAAATAACTGATGCTTAACCCCAAGATATCTTGTTACTTCATTAATACTAACTGCCCTACGCATCAGAAGTAATTGATACTTAACCCCACCTATATTTCCTCACTACAGTAATACTAACTCTCCTCTTTGTCAGAAAAAAATGATACTCAACCCCACATTTAACTCCTCACTGCAGTATCAGTAAATGTCGTCTTTTTCAGAATTGTGATACTTAGCCCCGCCTTAAACTCCTCACTGCAGTATTTACTGATACTAAACTCCGCCTACCTTATCACTGAAACACAAACAAATACCAAACCTACCTCATCACTGAGACAATAACTAATACGAGGCAGGTTCGATACCTCGTCCCTTATTTACTGATATTAAACTCTACCTACCTCATCACTGAGATCTAACTAAAACTGAACCTACGTCGTCACTGAGTCACTCTCTTATACTGAGTCTACTTCATCACTGAATCACTAAAATTGAACCTACCTTAAAATTAAATCACCTATAAGAACCTACCTCATCACTTAGTCACTAATACGAACCTACCTCTTATTAAATCACTAATACTGAACCTTCGTCACTAAATCACTAATACTGAAGCTACCTCGTCACTGAACCATTAATATTGAACCTACATCATCACTGAATTACTAATACTGAACCTACTTCATCACTGAATTACTAATACTGAACTTACTTCATCACTGAGTCACTTATACTGAACCAACCTCGTCACTGAAACACTAAAACTGAACCTACCTCATCACTGAATCACTAATACTGAACCTACCTCGTCACTCAATCACTAATACTGAACCTACCTCGTCACTCAATCACTAATACTGAAACTACTTCATCACTGAATCACTAATACTGAACCTACCTCGTCACTGAATCACTAATACTGAACCTACTTCATCACTGAATCACTAATACTGAACCTACTTCATCACTGAATCACTAATAGTGAATCTACCTCATCACTAAATCACTAATATTGAACCTACTTCATCACTGAATCACTAATACTGAACCTACTTCATCACTGAATCACTAATACTGAACCTACTTCATCACTGAATCACTAATACTGAACCTACCTCGTCACTGAATCACTAATACTGAACCTACCTCGTCACTGAATCACTAAGACTAAACGTACCTCGTCACCGAATCACTAATACTGAACCTACCTCATCAATGAATCAAGAATACTGAACCTACCTCATCACTGAATCAATAATATTGAACCTACCTCATCACTGAATCACTAATACTGAACCTACCTCAACACTAAATCATTAATATTGAACCTACCTCATCACTGAATCACTAATACTGAGCATACCTCATCACTGAATCTCTAATACTGAACCTACCTCATCACTGAGTCACTAATACTGAACCTACCTCGTCACTGAATCACTAATACTGAACCTACCTCATCACTGAATCATTAATACTGAATCTACCTCATCACTAAATCACTAATACTGAACCTACCTCATCACTGAATCACTAATACTGAACCTACCTCATCACTGAATTACTAAAACTGAATCTACCTCGTCACTGAATCACTAATACTGAACCTACCTCGTCACTGAATCACTAATACTGAACCTACTTCATCACTGAATCACTAATATTGAAACTACCTCATCACTGAGTCACTAATACTGAACCTACCTCGTCACTGAATCACTAATACTGAACCTACCTCGTCACTGAATCACTAATACTTAATCTACCACATCACTGAATCATTACTATTGAACCTACATCATCACCTAATCACTAATACTGAACCAACATCGTCACTGAATCACTAATACGTACTAAACCTACATTATCACTGCATCTATCACATCAATGAGTCACTAATACTGAACCTACCTCGTCACTGAATCACTATTACTGAACCTACTTCATCACTGAATCACTTATACTGAACCTACTTCATCATTGAATCACTAATACTGAATCTACCTCATCACTGAATCACTAATAATGAATCTACCTAATCACTGAATCACTAATACTGAACCTACCTCACTGAATCACTAATACTGAATCTACCTCATCACTGAATCACTAATATTGAACCTACCTCGTCACTGCAGCACATGCGCTTTGCGTCCCAGACGCTCTCCACCAAACAAAGAAGCATACAGCTGAGGTACATAACAATGATGATAAAAATAACGACGTGGAGGCGATACAAGGTGTCACAGTCCACTACCATTTCTGTCCCATCCCTGTTAAATATAGGATAAAAAATTATTACTACTTTTACCCATACAAAAAATTTAAATTATATTTCTTTACTTCTTAGAGGATAAGAATGCCTTTAGAACTTCTGAATATGAATGTATGATTATCGTACAGGCTCAAAATTCTAATAAATAATAAAAAAAAAATCAGTAGCATACAAAATCAATATTTTTAATCATATTTATTTATGTTTTTTTATGATTACCTGCAGTCACACACAGTCCCGTTTAGGTAGCAGCTTTCCATGTCGAAAGTTCGTACGTTATTGGAGATCGCCATGAATGACGTCATAGAGATCAAAAGAGTGAGTACAAGAAAGGCGGCGTGAATGTTTAACTGAAAAAGAAACAAAACAAATTATACAAATAACTGAATCACATACACCGAGATTATCAGATTGTCATTTTTTGATCCAGTAATGTAATTTTATTATTTTGATTTTACCATGCAGGGTAGGTGTAAACACAAAATGACATAAAAATTGGCATTAAGAAGTGGAAGGGAATTTATAATTCATTGTACATTGTATTGTCATGTATGAATACTTACCAGCCATTTCATGACATCTCTATAAATAGCTAAGATTACTCCCAGAAAACCAGATATTCCAAACTAGAAATAGAAAGAAAGGGGGGGATATTTTACAAAATATAGGATTATTCATAAAATTATTATTATCAACACTATTAAAACTCGATGCCTTGTCATTTTTGAAAGGTTTGAAAAATTATCTTTAAAAAATTAAGTGACTCGCATTCACTAAAATTATTAATCTTTATACAATATTTTTATAATTTTTCGGAAGATTTTGCTGACGATAAATAATTTAAAAATAGTTAAAATGGGGGAAGCTTCTGTGGATTTGATACAAAGAAATTGTATGTTCTCTAAACCGTTCCTTCGTGGGAATTAATCAACATAAACAGATGCTAGCAGTCGCTTCTCATTATTATATAGGAATGTAGTATGTCTGACTTACCACTACGATAGGGAAGAGAAATATATGACCGGTGGTGGACGTGTCCGGAAACACGGGCTCCGACAACCCAGTGTTGGCAAGGATCGTTATAATTAAATCTAAAATTAAATTAACTACAATTAAGTTATCAATTCCTTACTTTGCATGTTGACAAAATAATATAAATGCATGCAGTGTAATATATATAGTATGTAATGTAAAGATACATTTTGAAATAATTTTCATGAATAACTACCTCTTTACAATAAAAATAGAATGGTAGAATGTCAGATGTGTGGACAATCAAAGAATTTCCTATTCTAAAACAAATTTCTTTAATAAAAATAACTTGAACACATGGGATGAAAATTCCTGTGCTCTCTCTCTCTCTCTCTCTCTCTCTCTCTCTCTCTCTCTGACTTACCCCCCGTTAAGAGACTTCCGGATAAGAGACCAGATATCAACTTCTCACGGTTCCTTCTACAGAACTCACGCATCGTCAGGACCGTTCCTTCATCTTCGTCAACTTTTCGTAAATGTACAGACCCAGATTTCGTAATGAGTTTTTCATTGTCGTTTCAAAATTCTCCGATCAAATAACAATGTCGTTTTAAAATCAAGGGGCTGAATGCATACATTGAAACAGCTGAGAGAATCTGAATGGGCCTCCATCTAGTGGAACCAACGCAAATTCTCCTTTAAAAAGTTTCAAGGTGTCGGGGTGTACAAAGTGTTTGCCTTATGTGTGGATAAAATGTCTTAAACGAAGTTTATTTTATGTTTATTTGTCTACGTTGACCACTGTGACGCCCGGCGCTTATGGAAATTTTGATAGTTTAAACTTTTGTTATTTTTATTTAGGCCTTTAAACTTGGCTGATCGCTCAATCGATATCTTCCGGAATGAATGAATTTGTTTTTGTATCTCTAATGGTGTACTGTATACAGTCTCATTGTACAAAACTTCACCTTAAAAAAAACATAAAATTTAATATCAAAATGTCTAATCTTATAATATAGGCTTTAAAGCACATTTAAAATCAGTGAGGAGGTTTAAAGAAATCGTACACCTCTTTTAAATACCACTTTATATTTTTTTGTGGACAGTGCATGTGTTAAAGTACATGTAACCTAATGTGTCATCCCGCGTTCCAGTTAAACTTAGCATATTAGGCCATCTTTAAAAAAAATTATTTGGTTGCCCTCTCCCAACCGAGTGGCTAAAAATGGCCCGACTCAAAACTTTTTTAACTTCCAGGAAGCAATTATTTTTTCATGCATTCCGGAAAATAAATTTTGAAAATTCAGCATTGATTTTGAAACTTTTTGAGAAAAAAAATTCCCTCGCCTACCTACCGACCCAATTTTTTCATCATGAGTCGGGAGAGGGCAAACAAACATTATTTTAAAGTTGGCCTTATTTATTTATTTATTTATTTATTTATTTATTTATTTATTTATTTATTTATTTATTTATTTATATTTGGCAAAAAAAATATTGGAAAGTTTGACCAGCTTTCTTCTTCGATACATTGAATAAGTTTATCGATTTGTTTTGATGATGCATTCCATTTTGAATACTACAGCTGTAGTATACTAGAATCGTGTGACAGAAAAAGGATTTTTCACACAAATTTTGTCAAATTAGGAATTTTTTTCCTAAATTAACAGATGCATGTAGACAGCTTTAATTAACTCTGTTCACTTTCATGATAGATTTGTTCATTGTAAAATTGTTTACTTTTAAAACACACAATACTGACAAAGTGTGTTAAAATTCCACAAGAAGAAAGGAGGAATTTGAACCGCACATTGTAAAAAAGCTATACATTATTTTAAAAAAAATCATGCCAAAGTTTAAGGAATCTAAATTGATTTAACAGTCCCGTTGTGTATTTAGTGTGTATGGTTGTGCATCAGTGTGTGTGTGTGTGGGGGGGGGGGGGGGGGTTACCACATGTATTCAAGACCTAACATTAATACTGTCAATATGAGAGAAATATATGAGGAGTAATCTATGAAAATGGATTTGACAAAACTCAGTCGATCTTTGCTTAAATAGATTTGTGTGTAAATTTATAGGTTCCTCAAATTAAGACATTTTTTCACCTCCCGTTAATATTCTTCCATTTATGAAGTAGTTTGATTACAAGGAACACATTTTTTTATTAGACCCCATCTCTGATAACAGCACATAAATCGTGAAATTGTCTAGCTTTTATTATTAATATTATTTTCAGCGTACATGTTATAATCCTAAAGCGTCAAACTCCGCTGAATATTAGTTACATATTAGCATTATTGACTGATTCAAAGCGATTGTGTGTCCTAGCGATCGTGTTACCTTCTGTGGTGGCCCACCTTCCGTACCTGCAACAGGTGAACTAAACTAACAAGTCAATTTCACGTAACAGCTGACTTTCTTTGTACACGTGTCAGAAAAAAAGTACTCGTTAAAACATTTCAAATTATTTTTTCGGACTTAAAAGGACTATTAATAAGCGCCCAACCTTGAATGTGAGTAATTTTAAAATAAAGCCAATTATCTTAACCTTTTTTCTTGCTTTTAATCAATATTACACGCCTTAAGGAACCGGAGGGGGGGACGAGGAGCTTTTAACCCTCCTCCCTTATTTTGCTAATGTATCTTTTATGCAATAGAAACAACAACTTATTTACGGTTGTGCCCCCTAAATGATAATCTTCTGCACCCAACCACCTTTTAATTTATTTTTTTTCTCTGAGGAATTGTTTTTTAATTATGTGTCCCTCCCTCAAATGAAATCAGTATCTAAGGGTCTGTACTAAGTATTTTACAGAATGTAGACGGGTGAAGCGACAGTGTCTTGTTCTCAATATGTTTCTTTATACTGGAAACTGTGAAGTTTTAAATGTTTTATAAATGTGGCCTTCTTAATGAAGTCGAGGACTTTATAATTACTAAAAATATACTTTCTTGAAATGTTTTTAGAATTAATTGTTTATATCTAAAAATAGGTGAAATAATAAGTGATGTCAGCATATGCATGCCTGTAGCTAACTCAATTAATAATACACATCAAATTAAGTCGTTCACCTTCAAATTACATATATGTGTGACACTTAAAAGTTATATATATTAGGCCAAATAAAAAAATATGTGTGGTTCCGGTTACCCGACCTTCCCTATCTTATACCCCCGACTCTAAACTTTTTTTTGGCAATTTTCATATTTTTTCCGGAATTTTCCCCGATTTCCATCAATGGCTTCGGTTTAAGTTTTAGTTTCAGCAATGACGACCTCCTTACAAAACATAGTGCAAGTGTTTAATAGTATTAAGTCCAAAGCAAGCTAGCATGTAGGTGTCCCCTACCAATATTGACTAGTATAATATGTTGACGGTGCGACCGTTGGGGCGAGCGCATTGTTCACTTCATTTTAAGATCCGCCTCTTCAAACCGCACGAGACATTTGGAACGTCTAGACTGTGACGTCACATGACGTCGTATGTTAGCTGCATTTCCATAAACAAAGTTTAAAAAGTGCAAATATTTTAACAAAGAACGTTTAACCCTTTTGCTGCCGTACAGATTTCCAGTTCAAATTACGTACTGTGCCGTGACAGTTTTCTATTACGTTGAAACTATGACGTAACGTAACTATGACGTCACAAACAATGTAGATAAAGGTATAAATACTTATTCGCGTTAAAATAGAGACAACAGAGAACAAATTCTAAAAAGACTAGCCCCTTCGGAAAAAGATTACAATTATAGAACACACATAATTTATGCTCAAATATTTTTTAGAAGATCTAGTACTTTATGTTACATATTTTTCTTATTTAAAAAAATATAACCCCATACCTAATTCACATGAATTATAAGGTATGGGGTTAAATTCTTTAAAATATAAAAAATATGCAACATCAAGGAACCGTGCAGCGGATTGTCAAAACATAAATCATAGTTTCATCGAGAAAATGAAAAAAAAAAATGAATTAGTCGATCTAAAAATCCACCTGTGAGTGAATGAGCAATAAGTTACGATAGCTCATGTTTTAAAGCTTTTCTAGACAGGTTCCGAGCATCATTACTATCCGATCGTCACTGTGAGCACATGTAATGCTCTGTTTGAATCAGGAATACGCATTATTAAGCTCATTTTGTAAACTTCTCTTTTCCGTATTTTTTTTTCAATAGCCGTCCATGATGGCAATCTGATTATTTTTCAGAAAAATTTCTAACACACACGATGCCATAACGTTAATGTGTGTGAAGGTCAAACTTATACTGATTCAACATTTCTAATTTCCTGGGAACTTTTCGCCATCTAAACATTTGGTTGTAGTTACTAATATTCACTTTTAGTTTAATTACTTGGAGTATATTTTTCCATTCTTTGACATTTTCCATTTAAAAAAAGAAAAACCGTGGAATATCTGTAAACTGTGCGTAAGACTGTTAATCAAATATTAAAAAACCGTAATTCTGTTTTTTTTTTAATGGAAAAAATATGAGAAGAAAATATAAAAATGTCTACTCGGTAGACCTCATTTTTACCCTACAAAATCTCTGAAGAATACAAGAGCTTCCGGGGGCTTCGCCCCAGATCCCCGCCTACTTTTTGCCCCCCCCCCTTCAATTCCTGGATCCGCGCCTGCCGTGGATCAAGTATACTGCATATAGTGAAGTTAAAAATATACAAATGCAATGTAATTGAAACGCAGTGATACATTAATAACTACTTATAATTTTGGGGGGGGGGGTTACCAGTAAAGGTTTTCTAAGACATGAAAATTCTATTTGCAAAAATAAGGTTAATGAAAAAAAGGTTAATATCTGTTCGTACACCTTATACATATTTTTTGAACGTAGACCTTACATGTTACCACATGCACACACACCCCTTTCCCTGAAACCTTTTGTATTGTTTAAAATTATAATTATGATTGTTATGGTTATATATATATATTTTTTTAATGCATCATATACTTTTCTATTTGTAATTTTTTTCTTTGGACTCTTTCTCGTGAATATACTTCAGAATACTAAATATATTTTTGCGGCCGATTTGATGCTTTGCATCATTTTAACTTGTTGTAATCTTGTTCTCATATATTATAACCTGGAATACACCGACGAAGACGTACGTTACTTTCAATTTTTTCTTCAGTGTCTGGTACCACCCTTAATCGGGAACTTGGATGCATTCTGTGGATTTTTTTTTTTATTCAATCAAATGAAGAGACTTAGATTTAATTAAAAAAAACTTGTTCTTTTTGTAATTTTACTACATTTTTCTACAAATTTACAATATATATTACTTGTATCACAGGTACTTCTTTCTGTAATAATTATTTAAACCATAGTGTAATAATGTTATTGTTCTGTTATGGGTTAAAAGATATAACTGAAACAGGAGTCTGTGCTTTGTATTTGGTGCTAGATATATAAAAACACCCTCAAGGACTTTAAAGAATTAAGAAACATTTCATTTGGTAAAACTACCAGGTAAATATTCCGTCAACACACGTGTATCTTACAATGTGCATCTATATGTAAGTACCGGTAGTAGTTGACCTTAAATGCCTCGCCTACAGCTGTAGCTGTTAGAAAATAAAGTCAATAATGTATTACTATACTTGGTTAAGTTACATTGGGAGGAAATCAAGATCTTAGGGCTTAGGGGTATTTGCGGGTGGGGGTGGGGGGTGGGGGATCTTGCTCCGATTCGAAGATATTTTGCCCTCCCTTTTCGCCGATATACCATCCCGGGATAATAAGGAGTTTTTTCCTCCACAAATTATATTTATTAAACTACCATACACTTTACACAGTCGCGATTTTTTTTTTTTTTTTTTTTTTTTTTTTTTTTTTTTTTTTTTTGCTTTCCCTCCAGATTAAGTAATCTGTTGTAAACTGCATTTCTCTGTATAAACTTGTGATGCTCCCAAGGATAAAACGTTATATAGTCGATTAAAAAGCTCTACAAGGCTTACATGTTACATGTATATTGTTAAACTGTATGGTATATAATGCCGATTTTAGATTATGAAAAAAAAATATTTACATAAATTACAATGATTTTGCAATACTAGTATTTCATATTTACCACGATCAAAACATTATATTCTTGCAACTGATGAAAAATTATTCCCATGTTTAAGATAAATAAATAATATTTTTTCTCCCACTGGAACTTAATTTGATTACTTATATCGTTCAGACAAAGATTGGAGATGTTGATAAAATTCCTTAATTTTAAATTAGAATGCATTGTTTACATTTTCCAAAGATTCAGACAAATGAAATGCCTGTTTAAAATTCCTGTTCATTCTCACAATTTTCAGTAATATTATATTAAAATAATTGATTGTTTTCTGCATCAAGAGGCTAAAATGGCGCGAAACTCAGAATGATGACGGAACGTCATAATCAGTTTTCCTTGTGACGTAATGAGTTAACAGTAGGCCCAAAATAGGCCCATGGCACTTAACGTAGTTTTTGAAAATAGGCCCAAAATAGGCCCACGGCACAAAGAATGTTAATTAATCTACTATCTGCATGCAATAGCCATTAATTAAGGTGAGTTTATTTTTTGTGAAATTTTAGTTGTTGTCACCGCGTGAACGAAGTTAGCAGCGAGAACAAGAAGCGATGCATTGTGGGTCAGAATTACTGCGGAAAAAAATTCTATTGAATGAATGTGCAGTAGTCCGAATTTTCTCTTCGCCCAGGCGTTGTCGTTAGAGCTCGCAGTGACGAGCGGCGCTTCGCGCCGCTCGCTGCGCTCGCTATTATCACATCACATCTAAATGCCATTTGCAAAGCAGTGATAGGTATTATTTAGAAAAATTTAGAAAATCATTTTGTTAAAAAAAAAAAAAAAAAAAAAAAAAATTCCCTACCTACCTACCCTAATTTTTATGGAAGTGTAACCGGAACCACACATATTTTTTTGTTTGGCCTTAGAATCATATCTAGAGGCAAAGTATTTCAGTTTCTTTTGAAAGCCAATGTATCAATATTTAAACAAATAAATGTTGGAAGTCAAATTATGAGTGTCATATTCAAAATTGGAAGCTTACATGTAAGTAGCAAATACTAGCTGTTTTGTTATATCTACTTTTTAATTCAAACGATTCGTGCGGCTGACGAATATATATTTTCCTAATTTAATAATGTTTTCGGATTTTTTTCTTTTAATTTTTAACATGGAAAGAGGACAATCACGGTACCAAAGATCTTTGAAATTTGATTTATCATTTATTGTTAGTATTGACCATGCTGCGACAAAAAGTGAGAGAGGGGGCAATTAGCCTTTTAGTGAAAGCAAAACAGGGGGGGGGGGGGGGCAGTCCCTCCTCAATACTACGTGCCTGCATCCAGAGTGTACATGCGCCGACAAACTTTCTCATTCCATTGAATTTAACCATATGTTGCACTAGTCGCTTTATCTATTTGATCTGTTTTATTGTATATTAAATTCAAATTTTTAATCAATGGTCCATGTTTACAAATTTTAAATATGCCTACAGGTAAAGCCCAGTTGACTTCCGGTTATGCACTTGCATGTAACTTTAATAATGTATAGAATTTTCGATTAAATTATTTAAAAATATTCAATACAAGATAGCTTTTATATTGTTTAAAATGTATATTTACTATTTTGAACTTAGGTTGGGATGAAGACTGAAAGTGACCACAAGAACAGAAAGACACGAAAACTTGGAAGATTTGTAAAAGTGTTTCGGAGATTTTTTAGGAACTCCAAGAAAGGTACTCGTAATATCTTTATAATATGCCTATTGGAGAGAAAGATGTGTAAGTTTACAAATTTCTATCAAATTAGAGTTGTTCGTTTTCTCAGTGCATGCCAAAAATCACAAATTATAAACTTTGACATTCAATTCACCTTGATTCAAGGCTATAAAATATCCACCTAGATAGACAACTTTTTGTGTCAAGTTTATCATATTTTCATCTGATGATATAGAACAGACTTCTTTAGAATATCGGTTTTTTTTCACTGTTTCAATGACCTTGAATAAATGATCTGGATCAGGGTCATACCACACTTTTTTATGAAAATGCAATATATGCCCCTTTTAATGCATTTGTGTAATAAAATAATGAAATCGGTGATTTTACCATTCCTGTAACATTCCCCTTCTCGTACTGTGTATATTTATTGGTAACAGGATGTATTAAGTGTATTGAAGGATACACACATACAACCCTATATTTACAGAAGTGTCATTTTGCGCTACTCACATTCAGATGGACAGGGATTAATTTTCAGACGTGTCTTTGTCATGTCACTCACATTCAGATGGGGAGGATTATATTTTCAGACGTGTCTTTGTCGAGTCACTCACATTAAGATGGACGCGGTTTATATTTAAATCAGCCTTTGTCTTTGTCATGCCGCTCACATTAAGATGGGCGGACTTTATATTAATCAGACGTGTCCTAGTTGTGTCACTCACATTCAGATGGGCAGGGTATATTTACAGGTGTGTCTTTGTCGCGTCACTCACATTAAGATGGTCGCGGTTTATACCTGTATTATCAGCCTTTGCCTTTGTCATGCCACTCACATTTAGATGGGCGGACTTTATATTATCAGACTTGTCTTTGTTGTGTCACTCACATTCAGATGGACAGGGTTATATTAATTTTACAGGTGTGTCTTTGTCGCGTCACTCAAATTAAGATGGGCGGGGTTTATATTATCAGCCTTTGTCTTTGTCATGCCACTCACATTTAGATGGGCGGGGTTTATATTATCGGACGTGTCTTTGTCGTACCACTCACATTCAGATGGGTGAGGATTATATTTACAGGGCGTGTTTTGTCTTGTCACTCACATTCGGACAGATGGGGTTTATATTTTCAGGCGTGACTTTGCCGTGTCACTTACATGTATATAGCCGGGGTTAATATTTTAATCCGTGTCTGTCGTGTCACTCACATTAAGATGGACGGGGTTTATATTTTCAGGCGTGACTTTGTCGTGTCACTTACATTCAGATGGGCGGGGTTTATATTTTCAGGCGTGTCCTTGGCGTGTCACTTACATCAGATGGGCGGGGTTTATATTTTCAGGCGCGTCTTTGTTGTGTCACTTACATTTAAATAGGCGGGGTTTATATTTTCATCCGTGTCTGTCGTGTCACTCACATTAAGATAAGCGGGGTTTATATTTTTCAGACGTGACTTTATCGTGTTACTGACATTCATATGGGCATGGTTTATATTTTCAGGTGTGACTTTATCGTGTTACTGACATTCATATGGGCTGGGTTTATATCTTCAGGCGCTACAATATCGTGTTACTGACATTCATATGGGCAGGGTTTATATTTTCAGGTGTGACTTTATCGTGTTACTGACATTCATATGGGCAGGGTTTATATTTTTCAGGCGTTACCTTATCGTGTTACTGACATTCATATGGGCAGGGTTTATATTTTCAGGTGTGACTTTATCGTGTTACTGACATTCATATGGGCAGGGTTTATATTTTTCAGGCGTTACCTTATCGTGTTACTGACATTCATATGGGCAGGGTTTATATTTTCAGGTGTGACTTTATTGTGTTACTGACATTCATATGGGCAGGGTTTATATTTTTCAGGCGTTACTTTATCGTGTTACTGACATTCATATGGGCTGGGTTTATATCTTCAGGCGCTACAATATCGTGTTACTGACATTCATATGGGCAGGGTTTATATTTTCAGGTGTGACTTTATCGTGTTACTGACATTCATATTGGCAGGGTTTATATCTTCAGGCGCTACAATATCGTGTTACTGACATTCATATGGGCAGGGTTTATATTTTCAGGTGTGACTTTTTCGTGTTACTGACATTTATATAGGCACGGTTTATATTTTCATCCGTGTCTGCCGTGTCACTCACATTAAGATGGGCGGGGTTTATATTTTATTTTTCAGGCGTGACTTTATCGTGTGACTTACATTTATATGAGCGGGGTTTATATTTTCAGGCGTGTCTTTGTCCTGTCACTCACCCCCGGCTGAGGAAGATGGGTGGATGTACGACAGAATCTCCAGAACTCTGGTCTGGATGGGATAGTGGTCTATCATTCAGGTGAGAAATAAATTTACTGACCTTGAAACATCTGATTTGCTTAATCTGTAAAATATAAATTTTTATTTTATAGAGAATATTTTGTAGAGAATATACAAGTTAATTCAAAGAATCTTAATAGGACGACGGACTTTATCAACGGAACACACGGCCGTTTTTGCTTCTGTTAGAGAAGCGAGACCGAACTTGGCTTTCTAACGATGCTTGAGATAATTATATTATCCAGAAACACTGTGCAACAATATACAAAATTGGGAACTTGACCCTTTGCCCCTTCACATCTTAATCAATTTTGGTCATATTTTTGTTATGGACAATATTGAAGTCAATTTGAAAACCATTTTACTTCTTGTGACCTAGGGAATTATGATATGACACTTCATTGCAAAAGCTTTTATCAAAGTAATGTGTACCATTTCATACCTTGTATCAATTTAATTGTGACCTTGACCTCAAAATCATTAGGAGTCGTCATTCCTGAGTCATGAGAGACATCCCTTTAAGTTTTTTTTCAAAATTTCACAGAGAATTAAACATTATACAGATACTTATATTTTATGTAATTGATGAATTTGTGACCTTGACCTTTTGTCTTCAATATCGATAAGGATCTTTTCTAAGTCGTACCGAGTCATGATATGTGAAATTTCGTTACAAAAGCTTATGTACATTCACAGATATCGTCTGAAACCTAAAATGTTACAGAAAAGCAAAATGACGAAAGTATAGACTGTCGGATTGACAGACCTTATAATCTTAATATCCCCCGCATTTAGCCCTTCTCCGTAGTCTGTTTGTCTGTCGGTCCTTCACGGTGAGCTACCGGTATACTTTTTAAAACATGCCAGATGGAATACGTGATTAGCATACATAGGTTTTTAGAATAGTTACAATTAAAATGCCAGAGTATTTGACTTGAGAGTTTGAGTTTGAATTTTATCTATTTAAAGGCGTTCTCTCTTTTAATCCATTAAACGTTAGAAACTCAGCATTGCATTAGCAAAGAACCATGTATTTTATGTTAAAGACCTTTATTAATTTGCTCCTTATTTCTCTTCTTTGATTAAAAATTAGTCGTTACAGATACAGATAACATGCGTAAGCAGGTCGCTTTGTCAAATACCACAATTACCGACATCCTAGTCTTGACCTTTGATCTAATTTTAAAAAAAAAAAATGGAATATAGCTTTAGTTTATCACAAAACATCCCTTAAGCTTCTGTATTCAAAATGTTGCCATCACACCGACATTGTGTTTCTTGGAATTAACTCTGATATGTGAGCAGTTTGACATGACATGATTAGTATCTATATAATGTCATTAATGAAATGTATAATGACAGTAATACCACATGCATGAATATCCAAATTGAGTGTGTGACCGTTTAAAAGTGACCATTTTCATAAATCATACAACAGATGTCTTTGATGTGTAATGCAATAAAATATTGGACGTGCTGAAAATTAAATGCATTTGTGTATTGGTGATTTGTTGGTAAGTATATATGTGCATGTTTACTTTATCTGTTTCTTATGGAAATATAATTATTCTTATATGTATCTCCGAGCTGACATTTGTTTTTACTAAAAATCCATCATATTGGATCATTTTCAATTTGCATTTTTATAACATTTAATTTTATTGTGAGAAAAGGGAATTCCAGAGGGTTTCGTTTTACCAAATTCTTCCACCAAAATTTGGCATACCTTATTATTATAATTACAGAACTTGAAGTACAATTCAGCTCGACTTCGACAACATAACGATTTAAAAAATATATTTTATTGTAGGGGAGTAAAGATTCAGGTTTCTTCTATTTTCAGATGTATGAATTTTCTTGGACTCTATTTTACATTGGCTGGATTAGGGTCACGTGATGAAACCATTTTTTCTAATTCTTTTCCTCGTTATCAGCCTTTATCATGACATCAGAGCTATAAAACAAGGTTAGACATTATCCCTTTAGTTTACATTATGACTTAATTTTCTACTCAACAACATATGTTCAGGATCCTACAAATTTTTTATCAGAGTGAGGGGGTTTTAAATTTATCAGAATTTTTTTTTTAATTCATTTTTTGTCATTTATTTTACAAAAACTTAAGAAATATATTTTTTTAAATTAAACTTTTTTCACTTGAAAATACTCGATCATCGCTAACCAAGAGTTTTCGGTCCACTCCGCTCCCCATCATGGGGAGCGAAGTGGACCGAAAACTCTTGGCTAGCGAAGATGCGTTTTCTCGAACTCTTCGGGACCAAGATAAAACTTCCGAGATATCAGAGGGTAAAAAACATAAAGAAAAACTGATAAGGATTAGCAACTCATTTTGACAAATCCCTGGTATTCGAGATATCGGTATTCGATATAACGATGTTCTACTGTATGTAAAACTAAAGCACATCTATATATCATATTAACAGTACATGTACGTACTGCTGCCAAAATAGATATGTACGCAGATCAGCAGACTTTCGTTCTCAGATCACTTACAAAAATATGAAATCATTTACATAATTTTGATTTTAACTTTATATTTTACTAACAGAGTGTTTGTTGCCCGCCTATGAAGGACAGTACCTAAGCCTCCACATTTATTGGTTCTACAGCCCCACCCTGGGGCAGTGTGTAAGGAGGATGTTCGGTGGCCCATCAGCTCCGGGACAAAATCATTTCGATTCCCTGGAAGATTGCCAGCAGACCTGCATGGACTAAAACACTCTACACGTATAGCACAGCACAAAATAAAGGACGCATTTAAATATTTAAATACATCTTTGGAAATTCATGGCTGATTTATTAATTAATATCGGTTTCAATCTTATACGTGAATTTAAAGTCAATATTTCAAAACGTAAAGGTTGGAGCAAGAGGCTAAAAAATTATTTTTGTTCCTCAGGCCAAAAGTTTCAATATAATTAGATGCAGCAAGAACCTTTTTTTCCCTTTTCGTTTACAGACTTATCTCTTTTCCAAGTTCACAAATGATGTTACCAACTGAATCTTACTTTTTGTATAATTTTAAAATTTGATACCCAATAATTTTTGTCAAACGAGATTCAAAAACGTTTTAATAATTTAATACTTTTATAACAAACGACGTTTATATATCGTGTATCTACTTTTATTGATGGGGGATAACTCATTTTTCTTTCTCAACTTGAAAATTGAGTTACTCCCATTTTCAATACGTGCTAAAGGCAGTGTTTGACGCAATGTGGTGGTAAATGAAAAATTACTGTCAGTGATTGATTCTTCGGGCCCAAGATAAATTGCGAACCTTCGTTGCATTTTGCTATTTGGAGGATTTATTCTGGTCATTGAGGATGAAACTTCCCTGATACCCAATTTTTATGCCCCGCCATGAATATGGCCGGGGCATAATTAAAGAGTATGTCATGTCCGTCTTCCGTCTCCTCCTATCCTTCCGTCGGGTGTTGTGTTTAGCTCAATTCAAAGCTCAGTTTCAAAGAAATTATTTATGTTATTTTTATCTAACTTCATATGCTGATAAATATTGATGAGAGCTATTCAACTGCATCAACATTTTTTGAACCTTGAACTTTCCTTTGACCTTGACCTCACTTTTCATTAATAAACGTTTAGCTCAGTTGGAAAAAAGACTTTCAAGATAGTGTAATCAAATTTCATATGCTGATACATACTGATGTTAGCTTTTCAACTGCATCAACATTTTTTGACCTTGCCTTTCTTTTGATCTCACTTTTCTTAAATCAGTGTTTAGCTCAGTTAAAAAAAAAACATTCAAGATAGTTTAATCAAATTCATATGCTGATACATAATGATTTATGCTATTCAACTGCATCAACATTTTTTTACTTTGACCTTTCCTTCAACCTTGACCTCACTTTTTTGTATAAGTGTTTAGCTCAATTTTAAACAAGCCATTCAACATTTTTTTTTATCAAACTTAATATGCTGATACGTATTAGTGAGAGCTATTTAACTGCATCAAAAACTTTTGCACAATCCTGTGACCTTCACCTCACTTTTCTATAATTTGCATTTTGGTTAGTTTTAAAGAAGCCATTTAAAAATATATTTATGTAAGCTTATGCACTTATACACAATTTGGTGAGAATTTATCATCTATATCTAATATTTTAGATTTTAATTTTAAAGAAACTATCCAAGATATTCTCATCAAACTTCATGCACAAATATAAATTTTCATGTTGTATTACTAATATACAATCGGCTGGGCATTCACGTCCTTTGGACATATTTCTAGTTGAACTTAAGTTGCAAGTACACTTATGTACTGTTAGCAAAGGAGATGGGCGAACATAGCGTGCAGAAAGCCTATAGCCTCAGAAATACAAAAATCATGTTTTTGTGAATTTAATATTTAGAGTAAAGTTCTCATTATTGAAATTTATGAAATTGTGATAAACAAAACTTTTCTGAGGAAAATTTTCTCGGCAAAATTTATTCTTTTATTAAAAAAATTAATGTGGTATTTGTGGGGTTCGAACCCTAGCAATAAAAATCCTGAATATCATTTTCTTTCGAGACTAGCACGCTAAACACTAGACTACACAAGTCCTGACGAATAGTGGCATTTAAATCATGTTTGTGATATGACCCTTGACTTAATGGACTTCAAGTATTTCTCGAAAAGATGCGAATGTTATGTCATAAAAGTATATTTTTAAGGTATAGTGGGTCATTGCTCCATATTTTTGGTAACCAACAAATGTACATTTTTATGCAAACTTTGAGGATTAACTTTCTAAAAGGTGGAGCGAAGACCCACTCATATCGAAAAATAGTGTTATAGTATGAGAAAATGACTCTTTTTGCCCGCTTTAGTGTGTGTCTAATATTTCACAGGGAAATAATTTCAATCTTTGAAGGATTTTTGCAAATTGTAGAGATTTTACATAAAGTATATTTTAATATTAGACGAAATATCAAGGAAAATTTTGATATAATTGAAATTTAATTTTTCATCTTCATGGTTGTCACACTATAGGCTTATCGCTGGTCATGTTCACCCATCTCCTTTATACATGATTAACATACCTGGGCATCTGGCAACATTTCCAAAAGAAAAAAACCCCTTAATTTACTGTTTAAAAAAATATAAAGGGAACAACTCAAGTTTATTTTTCTTCTTACTGAAAAAAACAAACAAACAAAAATATCTGTCGTGACAAATTTTTAATGATATTAACTAGGCATTAATTAACAATGGCAAACTGGAAACAGGTATAAGCACAGATAACCTTACTGAATTATAATCTGTAATACATAATAACACAAAGATGTATCATCTTTAAAAAATAAAACATAAATTCTTTAAATCTTCCCTCAGATGTACAACACAATATTTCTGTTCTTAGAGAATTAGAGCAACTGTAATCTTTAAGGTTTTACATTTTGTCCCTATGCCCAGAATCTTTAGGATTAGCACCATTTTATCTAAAAGTTTTATATATCTGTTTCATTCCCATTAAAATAAAAGAGCCTGATTTAGAAGACCAATGTTTCACCTGAAAAAATCATTTACCCATGCTCTTTTAATAAAAAAAAAAAAAAGGAAAGCCTGTGTTATATATAAATGATAATTTTGTGAAATAAACCAAAGAAAGAGAAGGAGGAATTTGGCTTGTCAATGGGCAATGAGGATTTATTGACTTCAATAGTGGGCACAAAATTTAAAGTTACCAGCTAATATTTCTAGAATTCTCAATAAGGAAAATGTACTCTCTTTTAAACATAAATAAAATAAATTCAAAGAAACACAAAAATTTATACTATTCACCATAATAGTACATGTGAATAAAAATGTTTGAAGATTATATGTAAAGAATTCAAATCTTTAAATACATTTAATCAAATAAATTCAATCAAAGTGTTGTAATGCTTGATTTGGAATTTAGAATAATTTTTCATACATCTACATAAGTTTCCCTACAATATTGCTTTTTATTCACCAGCTGCTCATTACGTGCTAATAATAAAAATGATATGATCACCACATTTAAAAACAAAAGCGACAAACGTCATACCTTTGACCAGTGGAAAAAAAAAATTATATACAATTTATAATTACACAAAAATATACATATGTACACCTTAAGAAGAGAGAAAGGTGTCTCAATGGTGTATATATCTTTTTCCTCTGGTAACACAACTCACACAGTAAGTAGCCAGGCATACAAGATCATACACCAAAAACCAGCATGAGCTACACAAGTCATCAAAAACTGGCATGAGCTACAGTATCTAATAATCAGATGGATTTACTGGGTGAAAAGGACAAGTTTATTGAATATTTGTAACAGAATAGCCAGTTCTATATTTATTATGAGTACGAAAGTGCACTAAAATTTGAGACATTCATATATGTCAGTTTATGCTTTTCAAAAAAAAATTGAATTAAAAATTTCCATTAGCATGAATTAAGACATTGATTTCATGCATTAAATTTAATTATTTTTGTCAATCACAGCAATGTGTTATCTCCCCTTAGCTCATGTCCCCTTAAATAAATTCTGATAAGGCTTTATTTGTTTCTACATATGCCTCATTCACAAACATACAGACCATGACTATGTGATAAATGTGGTGTCACACTGATGACATACAAGTAACTCAATAACCCTGACCCACAGATAATAAACAACTCACTCTGAATCAGGAACATCATTTCTCTGGCAATTATCTTTTTAATTCAAACATCTTTGGAATATGTACAAAATGGGCTTAAAATGAGATACTTCCTGCAAAAAAAAAAATTTTTTTTTTCCAAATTTCAAATATTTCACCAATTTTAAATTTTATATTTTCGACATCTGGCAGTTTCTGGAATACGTGTGTGTGAAGAATCACCAAGTAAACATGCTCATCCAAATCATTTTACTTCAGATTTTCTACACCTCTTGAAGATAAAGATATCATAACAAATCTGAATATATGACTATCATTCTGACAAATGTGATGAAATGTAGGCACTTGAATAATAACCCCATAGCACTTAATTCTAAGTATACATGATTATATATTAATATCTATCAACTGAACTTTGTCAATTCATCATCTCACATACCAGATATTCCTTGTACACATGGACATGTTCATTAACTCAAACTATAAACATTCAGAGATCAAAAATTATATCAATGAAAATACAACTTTTGGCTGTATAAAAGGAGAAATAAATATTTCAAAGTAATGTCTGGGTAATTTTTGAAAGTATAAAAGGTCCAAGCTAATTTTTAGCTCTTACTTTTAAAATCAGTAGACTGTGATTTAATGAAAACAAAGCAATAAAACATGGATTACATGGAATGTGTTATAGTGTCACCAGTTTGACTCCATGACAGACAGCAGTGTAGGATAATACGTTACTGTCACCAATTCTGATCTTCCCCTCCCATTCAAACTTCCTCTCATAATAATCAAAATCACACTCCAAAACATCAACGTCTTAAAATACAAACTATAACCCAAAAAATAAAATTACATATCCATTAACAGTAAATATTATAGCAAGCACTTTAATTATGAATCAATGCATATAGTATTTTTATTTCTTATTTTTTCAAAAAACACTGCAAAATAATAAAAGTAATATTAAAGACCAATGAAAATTGGAAATATAGGCCATTTATAGTGTAATTGAAAAGCTTGTTATGACAGTTTTGTTGTGTATGTGTTCTGCTATATAAAAACAAGAACCTATCTACACACAAATTACATGTCATCCCAAAGAAAAGATTTTGTATGGTACAAAAGAAAAAAATTCAATTCTTTTAATTTTCACAAAGAAGTAAACTTTGAAATGGACAAAGTAAAATAATAAATTCTTTTTTCTGTGGTTAAAGCAATATTGCTTGTCAACTACTAAATTCAACCAAGAAAGTGTTGAAATGAACCCCAATACAGTAAAGATGAAAGCCAATCAAATGCATTATATCAGATACAACAAATAAATGCTTATAAACCAATCAGATCTACTTTTACTTATAACCAATGAAATCAACCATTACTTATAAACCAATCAGATCGTTCATTACTTTGATCCTATCAATAAAAACCAATCAGATCAACCAATACTTTTAAATCCTGTCCAACTAAACAGATGCAATGCTTTTTAAAACCAAATCAGATCAAATCTTACTAACATCAGATCAAACATGCATAGACATGAAAACAGTGTCTATGTAGTTTAAAATTGAACATGCGTTTGAGATAATTTTGTGAACTGGAAGAGCAAACAACAGATATACCAACTAGAGCACACAATTCAACAAGCAAACTAATCTAATAAGTAAACATGTCTTAAATCTTACCCTTATAATAGCCAAATCAAAAAAAAAGTCCTGTAAAAAAGCATCTTTTTTGCCAAAAAATATATATAAAGGTTTAAACAATTTTATAAATCTGAGCATTATAAAAATATACAGTGCAATGCTGAGCAAGTGTCCATAGTAAAAATAGATTTTCTTTCTCTGTCTCTATTTTGGCTTCTAAATGCATTTCTATTTTCAGAGAAGCACCAGTTTTCCTCTTATACAGGCTATTATTCATATATTAATTGAAATTGATTTTAACAATGAAAATTTAAGTCCCCCACTTCCATTCTTTTGAATAAACATCCTGAATTCAGAGCTGAATGGCAAAATCAGATTTGATTGGCTGAAAATCACAGAGTGCGGTAACTCCTGTCCTTGCGTGCTCGGTAGAACTTTATGGCAAAAAATGCAATGACAAACAGGCCAGCCATCAAAATCATCCCCCCAAAGAAGGAGGCCCCATCAAAGTGCTGACCATGTGGGGTGGTTCCTGTGTGTGGTGCCTGAGTTGTTGGTGGGGCTTTTGAAGTTGTACTTGTAGAACCACCTGTTGCTAGAAATAGAATAATTATACAATGACTGTATTCATACACAATACTATTGAAATGACTTTCTATTTTTAGTGTCATTAATTGAAAGTGCAGATTTTTTACACTTTAACAGGGTAGAGTTGAATCCACACTTTTCAAAAGTTAGGTAAGTTTTAGACCACTTTTGGGGAAATCTCACACTGCCCTTTGTAATTTCAAGCTTGTAACTTTGTCATTTGACTCAAAAATAATTTTTGGATCTTGTTTATTGATTGCCCCAGGATGGGGGTTACCCATACATTGAAAGAATTTTTTTAACACAGTGAATTTATCACAGCATGCCCAAATATTTGGTTGTGTAAAGAAGAGAAACATTGCTTAATTCCCCACTGACCTTTTGGTTGACCCAAAAAGAGAAACAACTTTTTGCAAAATGTGGTTTAGTTTATCGTTAACTTTTGTTATTGAATCAAAATAAAATTTATATTGTTTACAAATAAGAACTCTTTGTACCCAAAATGTACCTGCCAGTCTCTACATTACATACATGTATGCTTTGTACATCTAAACAAAATTTACTTAACACACATGAAAGACATTGGAGCCTAATCCTCACTGAGAGCTATTTTCCTTATTTTTAATGTAAAACTTGGTTTCTATATTGTGGCCACACCCCACCCCAGGGGATCATGATTTGAACATTTTAGTATCTACACTACCCAATAATGCTTTCACTTAAATTTCAGCTTTTCTGGCCCAGTGGTTCTTGAGTAGAAGATTTTCAAAGATTTTTTTCTATATATTTCAATGTAAAACTTTGATTCCCAACTGTGGCCAAACCCTACCTCCAGGGAACTTGATTTGAAAAATTTAGAATCTATATTATGCAAGGATGCTTCCGCATAAATTTAAACTTTTCTGGCCCAGTTGTTCTTGAGGAGAAGATTTATTTTTAAGTTTTCTTCTCTATATTTCAATGTAAAACTTGGATTTTCTATTGTGGCCCCATCCTACCCCTGGGGTCATGATTTAAACACTTTCGAATCTACACTTCCCCAGAACTTCCATGTAAGTTTCAGCTTTTTTGGCCTGGTGGTTCTTGAGAAGAAGATTTTTTAATGACCCCACCCTGTTTTTGTCTTTTCTTGATTATCTCCCCTTGTAAGGAGGCTAGGCCCTTCATTTTTACAATTTTTAAAAACTCCCCTTCACCCAAGGATGCTTTGTACCAACTTTGGTTAAAATTGGCCCAGTGGTTCTTGAGAAGAAGTTGAGAAGTTTTCAGAATGACTGACGACGGACATTGGTGATCAGAAAAACTAACTTGAGCTTTCAGCTCAGGTGAGCTAAAAATGGAAAAGAATGAAAAAGAAAATTTAACTGAATATGTATCAACTTCTTGACTTCAAATCAGGATCAGTCTGGTGATTCATCATCGTTATATTAAATTGGGTTCAGAATTGATACAATGCACAAGTGCTGAGAAAGTTTTTGCATAATTTTTCCTTTCCACGAATTCAAATGAATGTGATTTGCTACAAAATAAACAAATCGCCATCCTTTCTGACCGCGATTTTAACCTGCTCTACAGTATTCCTGGTATACATGTTACTTGTACTGAGTTTGGACATTTTTTTAACCACATTTGTTTGGTTTAAGGACCCTCTCTACACTCCACCCTAATTTCAGGGTACTTTTGTGTAGTTAGACTGACCCATCATTTGATATAGAAATAGAATAAATTTTAACCTGCACTGTATGACATAATTTAAAATAAATCCAAGTATTCTAAACATCATATTAGACCAAGATAGAGTAGTATAAAACTTTATTTGCATGTATTTTCTCCATTTGTGTAAGCAAAAGCAAATTTTATTTATAATTACTTCCTTATCTTTGAAGATTTTTCCTTGATGAAAAAGGCATGCTCCCTATATTAAAAATGAATTAGTTAATTTCAAAACATCCTCCTTTACGCTATATAATTTTCCCAAAGTCCAAAAAATATTTTTCATCAGTGTATAGAGGGTCCTTAATTGTATTTTGGGAACTTTCTTTCGTGAAATTTGGAAAAACACATACTTTTTAACATTGGGAATGAGGCAGAATACAGGTCCCCTACAACCCCTAAAAAAACCCTGAAATTCTACACCATCTCGAAATGCTTTCACACAAATTTCATCTTTTCTGGTCCAGTGGTTCTTGTGGAGAAGATTTCTTAACTTGTCTATTTTGGCCTTTTCTTGATTATCTCCCTCTGGAAAGAAGTTTTGCCCTTCATTTGAACAATTTAAAATGTCCTTTACCCAATAGATGCTTTGTACCATTTTTGGTTAAAACTGTCCCAGTAGTTCTTGAGAAGAAATGGAAAATGTGAAAAATTTACAGTTGGAGGGACAAACAGACAGATGAATGCCAGACAATGAGTTATTGGAAAAGCTCACTTCAGCTATGATATCAGGTCAGGTGAGCTAAAAAATTACGGTAAAAGATATTAACGTAGATTGCATATACTACTACATTAGACTTACTTGTTGGTACTGCTGTGGTAGCTGAAAATGAAATGAATTGTGATCATTTGAACATTGGTATTACAATTAATTATTTTGAAAGGAGATATATGAAGTAATTTTAATATTTCAACCCATCACTTAGTAATAATTTAACAAAATCACTTGTTCCACATTATTTCTTAAAGGCATTCTTTTTTTTCTTTTTTTTCATACCATTTACCTGTCTGATTGCTGTTACCTAAGAAAAAAATACTAAAAAACAATACTAAAAGTAAAACTAAACAGGAGGCCCTTGGGCCTCAAATGTCACCTAAGTAACTTTAGCCCTGTTGTTCTCCAGGGGGTCGTAACATAAAGCTTGCTAAGTTTTTGACTTAAGTAGGGTCATAAGTATCTTTTAGGTGCAATCTTAAGACCTGCCTAAGTACTACTTAAGCATGTCTTAAACTGTAACATAAAACGGACTTAGCTTGGTCTAGCTAAGTCAAACTTATGTTCAAAATATTTTTTATGAATCATCCTAGTTTTTTCAATTTATTTTTACAAGTATATATATTTGTAAAAATGATTTAGTTACATTTTTATTACACATATAATAAAGTTTAAATTATTCTGAATATTTGAAAACAAATATTGCACGATCACAAAGTGGCAATAGTGGTTCATTGTAAACACCTGAATATTGTTTATCACTCGAGACTGCGATGTTTTCAGATTACCGTTTGTTGTTATTCTTTTGTTTTGACAAATGTTCACTTGCTTTCAAATTGTCATTCTCGTGGACATGGCATGATAACCGAACATCTATGTACTACTTGAAATTGAAACTCTAATTTAAAAAAATACAAAACAATAGGGACATGTTGAATTTTTTCCTCCCATATCAGCGAGCAAAGACTGCAACGTTTTATGATATACCTATTTACAATTTAATGAGGGATCGAAAAGAATTGTTTTCAGAAAACAATTTTTCGTATATCTCCAACTTATTAACAATCTCTCTCTCTCTCTCTCTCTCTCTCTTGATCGAACTGTAGTGAACCCTGTCTGAATCCTCACTTGTTGCGTTCTACATTCAATCTAATTTACAGAAATCTTTATTAGTTTCCTTTAATTCACCGACAATTTTTAAAATCTAGATTATCTCATTTTTTCACAGTGATCGAACAAATCCATGATTACTGTATACAATTTACTTATAACGATTAGTGTTAATAACCTAGGTCCCACTAATATTTCAAACGTATCCCAAAAGTATTTTGCATTCACATGTATGTTATTTAGAGAGTGATATTAGTGATATTGGAATTAGTGATCCCCCCCCCTCCCCGACGAAAAACAAAAATTCTTATACCAGTATATTAAATACGGAAAATTATTATTTAATGCATAATATAAATAGGGAAATGTTTTAACATTGAAACTCAACCTTAAATAGTTCTAAATATATGTTTAAGAAAGTTAAGACATACTTAAGTCACCTCTACCGGACGTCTAAGATTTGCTAAGATTGTCAAATCTTAGCACGTTTCTAGTTACGGTGTTAAGTTTAAGACTGTACTTAAGTCCTACTTAAGCATGGTCTTAGACTTAAGTACCCTTCATGTTACGACCCCCAGAAGATTAAGAAATTTTCATATTCCCATGAAAAATAATGACTCCATATTATGGCCTGACCCTAATTCTAAGGGGTTTCTGAATCCACACACCATTAAGATGCTTTAGTATCAATATGATCAACACTGCATTGCAATTATGGAGAAGAAAATTCTTTTTCTGTATACATGCATTATATAAAATTTTACACTGATGAGAAAATGTTTACTTATACACTCAAAGATGAAACTTCCCTATTGTGGCTCCAACATATCCCTGGGGCTATGATTTAAACAATTTAGAATCAACATTATAAGAAGCTTCAACTTTTCAGATTTTTTCTTGTATACATTCCTATGAAAAATTTTGACCCCAATGGTGGCCCTATTCTACCCCAGAGGACCAAGATCTAAACAATTTAGAATCTACATTATGTCAGAAAACTTTCATGTTAGAGTCATCTTTTCTGGTCCAGTGGTTTAAAAGAAGATTTTTAAAGATTTTTTCCCAAAATATTTCATTTTTCCTCTATATATTTCTATGTAAAACTTTGACCCCCTAATGTGGTCCCACCCTACTAAAGGGGCCACAATATGAACAATTTGAATCTACACGACCATGATGCTCTCACATATAAGTTTCATCTTTTCTGATACAGTTGTTTATGAGAACAGAACTTTTCCAATAAACTTCCATTGCCTATTGTTGCCCCATCCTACCCAAGTGGACCATGATTTAAACAATTAAGAATTAGAACAACTTCAGGTTGCTTTCACATCTGGTCTAGGTCTTCATGAGAAGAAAATTTCTAAAGATTTGACCTATATATTTCCATGTAAAACTTTGATCCCCTATTGTGGCCCCATCCTACAGCCCATGGGCCATGATTAGAAGAATTTAGAATCTACACTATCCCAGAATACTTTCACATAAGTTTCATCTTTTCTTAACCAGTGTTCATGAGAAGATTTAAAAGATTTTTCCTATTATACACTCCTATATATAACTGAGATCCCCTATTGTGCCCCCCCCCCCCCCCCCCACTTTGAACAATTTAGAATATAAACTTCATCAGGATGCTTCCACATATAAATGTTTCACCTTTCCTGGTCTGGCATTTCTTTAGTAAATGATTTCTTTATGACTCCACCCTATTTTTTGCCTTTTCTTCATTATATCCCCTTGGAAGGGAGCTTGGCACTTTATTTAATTTGAACAATTTAGAATACCCTTTACCCAAAGATGGTTTGTACAAGCTTTGGTTAAAATTGGCCAAGTTTTCCTTGAGAAGAAGTTGAAAATGTGAAGAGTCTACAGACAGACGGATAGCTAAACAGACAATAACCAGACAATGGGTTATCAGAAAAGCTCATTACAGCTTTCAGGTCAGGTGAGCTAAAAATTATGGTAAAGATATTAATGTAGATTGCATATACTACAACATTAGACTTACTTGTTGGTGCTACTGTGGTAGCTGAAAATGAAATGAATTGTGATCATTTGAACATTGATATCATTAATTATTTTGAATGGAGATATATGAAATAATTTTAATATTTCAACCCATCACTTAGACAGTAATGATTTAACAAAATCACTTGTTCCACATTATTGCACAACTTCAATTTCTTAAAGGCCTTTTTTTTTTTTAAATTTTTTTCCCTTATACTTACTTGTCTGATTACTGTCACCTGAAACAACAAAAAGAAAGAGAAGTCATTAACTTAAAAGTCTTTACAGTTGTTAAAAGTAGCTTACTGTCAGGACTCTTGAAAACTCAAACTCTTGATCTCTTTGATTTTCTGCAGTCTCACAGACTTTGAGTTATCTCGAGTTACCTGTACATTTTTTTTGCATTTTTTCCATGAGTTTTGACTTTGTTTGTGACACATGTGCTTCATCAAATATTGGGTGTCCCATGAGTGAAATCCTACATTAGCCCCCCCCCCTTCCCCCAAAAAATAAATTAAAAAAAAACATACCTACTGACCCCTGAGTTTTGGGGAATGTTACAAGAAACAACTATACAGTCATGTATATATATTTGTCCTGTTATCTACACGTATTTATCCATTAATTTAACCAATTCATTGAAAATTGTAAAATTCCAAGGTACCCCAAACATTAACACTTCAAATTCAAACATGAATCAAACATATGAATGTTGGTCTTAGTTCTGGTATAATCATAGACCTCTTAATTTGATATGTTTTACTGAAAGAAATCCTTTATTAGGCCATCTTTACAAAATTGTTTGTTTGCCCTCTCCCAACCGATTGACTACAAAAGGCCTGACTCAAAACTTTTTTTAACCTCCAGGAAACAATAACTTTTTTAATCATTTCAAAGTTTTCTCATCCCATTAATAACTATTTTAACTTCATATTCGCAAGTGTTTTTCAATAAAGGAATAAGATGTGTTTGTGAAACACTGATGCCCCTGTATGGCAGCTTATGTCGAAGGTTAAAGTTTCTCAAATGCAAGTCAAAATCCAGGCCAAAAGATAAAAAATGTTGATACCCAAAGAAAGATCTTGTCTCGAGGAAAACACCTGTGAAATTTGAAAGACCTAGATACAACTGTTCAAAAGTTATGGTGAAGGTTAAAGTTTTTTAAATAAAAGTCAAGGTCAAAGTGGTTGGTATCCAAAGGAAGATCTTGTCACAAGGATTACATATGTGAAGTATGAAAGCCCTAGCATCAACCATTCAAAAGTTATGGCCAAGGTTAAAGTTTTTCAAAAGTAGGTCAAACTCCTAGGTCAAGGTCAAAAGGTCAAAGTCGTTGGTATCCAAAGGAAGGTCTTGTCACAAGGAATACATATGTGAAGTTTGAAACCCTAAGCACCAAATGTTCAAAAGTTATGGCCAAAGTTAAAGTTTTTCAAAAGTAGGTCAAAGTCCAAGGTCAAAAGGTCAAAGTTGTTGGTATCCAAAAGAAGGCCTTGTCACAAAGAATACACATGTGAAGTTTGAAACCCAAAGCTCCAACTGTTCAGAAGTTATGGCAAAGGTTAAAGTCTCATAAAATTTTGCAAAAGTGGGTCAAACTCCAAGGTCAAGGTCAAAAGGTCAAATATGATGGTACCTAAAGAAAGGTCTTGTCACAAGGAATACACATGTGAAATATGAAAGTCATAGCTCCAACCAATCAAAAGTTATGGGCAAGGTTAAAGTTGACAACAGACAGACAGACAAACAGACAAACAGACAAACAAACAGACAAACAGATAAACAAACAGACAAACAGACAGACAGGACAAAAACAATATACCCCCGGGATCTTTCGATCCGGGGGGCATAAAAATTTTCTCCCTACCTACCTACCCAATTTTTTTATCCAAGTCAAGAGAGGGCAAGGAAACATTTTTTAAAAGATGGCCTTATATTAACAGATTATCACGACATACTCACATATAACATGTATAACAAAAGGGGAAGACAAAACTGAACCAAAATAATAAATAAATGTAAAATATCCACTTCAGGATTCATCAATAAATTTACTGATTGAGTTTATTATTTTCCAACTGTGATATCCATGAAAGGCAATCAATCAGAATAGCATTAAACCCTAATTGTTTAGAAAATACATTTGGGACAAAATGAACATGAAGAAACCTAAATGTTGGGGAAGCGTTATACTCGGACCCTTCCTCAATACTTACAAATCACTTGAGATGCTGGAGTACATAGGCTTGCCTTATTGGTAGAATTGAGGCACCCTGAAAAACAAAAATAGACCAGATTAATGGGATCTAAGCAGGAATTTTAATTCTAGCAATACAGTGATACATCAATCTTATTGACCATGCATTAAGGTGTATGATAAAGGTATTGTATCATCAGGTATGTTTGCAATACAATTAGAGCTAATTTTCATTATTTTACTTGAAAAAATTACAAATACCAAAAGAAAAAAAAAAAAAAATATTTGATTTGTCTGCAGTTTATATCAATACATTTTAGTTAACAGATATTGAAATATTTTTTTATATACCCTATAACTTTGGACATGTTGGAGGTAAACATGTTATATAACATTTTTGAAGAAGTTTTCTTATTATACCACAAATGTAATAAGTTTCACTATAAACCCTGAAGAATGCTGAATCACACCGGAAACAGTTATGTCACACACCAGAAACAGTTATATCACCCGACGGAAACAGTTATAACACCCTCCCGATCACTTTCACGTGTCTTTATGTTACGCATTTGTAGCTCGGGTTCGAGATTTCATGACGTCGGTTGCTAAGCAAACGTAACAACGGAGCGCAATTCTTAATGTCATGAAAGCATTTTTGGATTATTTGCCTAAACTTAAACAATTCTAGACGATTTTTTAATATAACAAGAGGCCCAGGGGCCACATCGCTCACCTGAGCACTATGGCTAGAAAAAAGCAGAAATCAGTTCAGTCTTGAAAGGTTGAAAAGTTTAAATATAAAGAGGGGGGGGGGGGTGTCATGAATTGAACAAATTTGAATCTACATTATCTGAGGATGCTTCCATTTAAATATGACCAATCATGGCTTTGCTGTTCTTGAGTAGAAGATTTTTAAAGATTTAACCTAGTATGTATTCCTATGTAAAACTTTGATCGCCCATTGTGGCCCCACCCGACCCCCAGGGGTCATGATTTGAACAAAATTGAATCTACACTAACTGAGGATGCTTCCACATAAGTTTCATATTTTCAAGCTCAGTGGTTCTTGAGAAGAAGATTTTTTAATGATGCCATTAATTTTTCACAAATTCTTAATTATTTCCCCTTGGAAGAAGGCATGGCCCTTCATTTGAACAAACTTGAATCCCCTTTACCCAAGGATACTTTGTGGCAAGTTTGGTTGAAATTGGCCCAGTGGTTCTTGAGAAGAAGATGAAAATGTGAAAAGTTTACAACAACAACAACGACGACAGAGACAACGGACAAATTTTGATCAGAAAAGCTCACTTGGGCCTTTGGCTCAGGTGAGCTAAAAATGTTATATAACATATACCACATGACTTCTCAGGTGACTTAATACCAGAATGTTTGCCCCTCGGTGTCAGGAAAGTCCTGGAGTGTTATGTCACCCTCTGCCTTCGGCATCAGGTGACATAACACTCCAGGACTTTCCTGTCACCTTGGGGCAAACATTCTGGTATGTCACCCTCAAAGCCATGTGATATATGTATAATATCACATGTCCAAAAGTTGGTTGGCCAATGCCCAAAGTTACTAAATTTTGAATCGGACTAGTAAATAATGTAATCTTTTGAAGTAGTGAAGTAGAGTAAACCATGTATGACTTATGCTTAATTAAACATGAAAAAATGTTCAATCCCTGAAATCTTTCAGGAACACAGAAAAAATTTATTGTAATATCATGTTTTTTAAACCACGATTTATTTAATGATATCTGAAATGAAGAGCAAAATTCAGAGGAAATGGAATTAATCACGTTAATATTATATAGTGAAAATGAAATAGTACCCTTTACTAATTTTTATCTGAAGAGCATCAATTAGTGTGGGCTAGTAGTTTTTTGAGGGACCTAGTAAAATCGCTTGAGCCTTAGAGCTCCTGGGCTAGTGAATAGATAAACTTTTCACGATGACTGCACTATACATATTGCGATACCCAGGTCTACTAAATTGTTTCTTTAAATGTGACTAATTATTGAATATAATTAGAACTATTTACAACAACATCTATTTTTAAAAAGTCAATAAAAATACAGAACGCAGTAAATACTTTCAATTGCCCTCTAACTTGATGCATCTTCTGTCCTGATTGATTTTTTATGTTTATATTATGTAATAATACATTATTTCCATGTTGTATGACCAAATATCATTTGAAGAGTTTGTAGATTTTTGATGATAGACTTGACATGTTGGATAGATACTGTTTAAAGCAGTTTCATAAGGAAAAACCTTACATCAACCATAAATAATCATACATAGTACATGTATGTATCAAATACATTTGTACACACAACAACCAAACTGAAAATAATACCTACTTCGTGGAATATATTTACTAACATACCCAACTACATGTACAAGACTGCACAACATGCACAAAGGGCAAAAAAAAGAGAAAATAAAACCCCTGACCTGAACACTACTGAGACATCTCCTTGAGATATGAACACTACTGAGACATCTCCTTGAGATATGAACTCTACTGAGACATTTCCGTGAGATATGAACACTACTGAGACATATCCGTGAGATATGAACACTACTGAGACATCTCCTTGAGATATGAACACTACTGAGACATCTCCATGAGATATGAACACTACTGAGGCATATCCCTGAGATATGAACACTACTGAGACATCTCCTTGAGATATGAACACTACTGAGATAAGTGGTACTTACTTGCTGTTCCTTTTGGGTTCTCTTTTGTTGTACAGTTGACATACAAACATTTAAGTGCCAGCCCCTTAGCTCCACAGCAATCCTCTTGTGTGGTGTAGTTTTGACAAGTTTCTAAAAATGCAAACAAAAATCTTACAAACATGCTTCTATATTATCAGAAAATAGTAACAATTCTAAGACACTTTACAACCCAAATTACCACCAAGGTAAATTAATAACCAGGGGCCCGTTTTACAAAAGAACTTACGACTAAGACCAAAAACTTAAGTTGATTGTAAAATTTTGCAAAATTGATGATTCTCTTTAAAATTGCTAGCCTAAAAATATCTTACTATATTCCTTTTAAAAAGATTAAAAACATTTTAATATGATGTAAATTAAAAAGTTATAAGCAGAATTAAATTTTGGTCTTAATCATAAGTTCTTTTGTAAAACGGGTCCCAGGTACACAACTTTATACAGTGGTAGCCTGGGTTTCTGTAAGTCAGTTGTGTGCTACATATTTGTATACTGACCATCAGATACATGACTTACTGGAAGTTTTCTTTAAGTCAGTCATGTACTATGTTGACCACTAGGTACATGACTTACTCATGGGGGGTCTTTAGTATAGTCATGTGCTATATTGATCAGGTATATGATTTAATGATGGGGGTGTGTTTCTTTAAGTCTGTCATGTGCTATATTGATTACCAGGTACATGACTACTGATTGAGGGTGGGGGAGGGGGGTCTTTAAGTAAGTCATGTGCTATATTGACCACCAGATAAATGACTGATAATGGGGGGGGGGTTCTTTAAGTTAGTCGTGCTATAATGACCAACAGGTATATGCATTACTGTTTGGGTTCTTTAAGTTAGTCATGTGATATACTGACCACGACTTACTGATTGGGGTCTTTAAGTTAGTCATGTGATATACTGACCACGACTTACTGATTGGGGTCTTTAAGTTAATCATCTGATATACTGACCACAACTTACTGATTGGGGTCTTTAAGTTAGTCATGTGATATACTGACCTAGACTTACTGATTGGGGTCTTTAAATTAGTCATGTGATATACTGACCTAGACTTACTTATTAGGGGGTTTAGGTTAGTCATGTGATATACTGACCACAACTTAATGATTGGGGTCTTTAAGTTAGTCATGTGATATACTGACCACAAGTTACTGATTGGGGGGTTTAAGTTAGTCATGTGATGTACTGACCACGACTTACTGATTGGGGGGGGGGGGGGGGGGTTAAGTTAGTCATGTGATATACTGACCTAGACTTACTTATTGGGGGGTTTAGGTTAGTCATGTGATATACTGACCACAACTTACTGATTGGGGGTTTAAGTTAGTCATGTGATATACTGACCACGACTTACTGATTGGGTTCTTTAAGTTAGTCATGTGATATACTGACCACGACTTACTGATTGGGGTGTTTAAGTTAGTCATGTGATATACTGACCTAGACTTACTGATTGGGGGGGTTTAAGTTAGTCATGTGATATACTGACTACGACTTACTGATTGGGTTCTTTAAGTAAGTCATGTGATATACTGACCACAACTTACTGATTTGGGGGGGGGGGGTTAAGTTAGTCATGTGACAGACTGACCACAACTTACTGATTGGGGGGGGGGGGTTTAAGTTAGTCATGTGATATACTAACCATGGCTTACTGATTGGGGGGGGGGGGGGGTAAGTTAGTCATGTGATATACTGACCACAACTTACTGATTGGGGGGGGGGGGGTTAAGTTAGTCATGTGCTATATTGACCACTAGGTACATGACTTACTGATGGGGGGGGGGGTGTCTTTAAGTTAGTCATGTTCTATATTGACCACCAGAGATATTCATGTCCTCCTGAACAACGGCTGATTTATTTTTGTGATATTAATATAAGCGATACTTTGTGTTATTTGAGGTTTTATCTTACAATTGGATTATTGAGTACTTAATAATATTAAGAATGAAAGAACCAAGAGTATATAAATTTAGGAGCAATGAGTACTTATTGTAACCTACATTAATGAATAGATTTGGAATCAGTGTCAGGGGTCCTGATTTAGAATTTTAGGATAAAATTTATGCTGAAACAATACAAGAAGTTCCCTGACATCCCCAATACTGAAGATGGATGCAGACTGATGCAGTCCCTGAAGGGAAAAGCAAATACAAACAAAAAGTTTATGCTGCCCATACAGACTATAGACAGATGAGTTCAACTAAAGAAGGGCAGTCCCAGTCAAAGCAACACTACCACTTCTTTTGAAGTATGGTGCCTTAACATGGTACATAAACCTTCCACAGGAACAGGAACAAGAGCTGAAAACAGCATTACTGAAGAGATTAAGGTAGCAATGGAATACAACACTGCTAATCTGTTAACCGTAAGATGTTCTGACAGATTTACTGCTTAATCCTATTAAGATACATAATTTCTTAACAAAAAATATATTTTTTCAAGTAAACTACATATATTTTCATATAAAAGTAGACTAAAAAAAAGACGATAACAATATTCTTTGTATACTCAGAAAACTAAATTACAAATTTTACTTCATTTGCAAATTAGCAATGAAAAATTTCAGAAACCATGAGATATGCATGAGAAATGAGAGACATTGGTCATTTCCCACTGCATTGTCACCAAATAATCAGACCTAAATCTGAACTATCACTGGATAACTGCAAAGGTTAGATGGGATAAGATACACTTTATTATCAGTTCACAGTACTCGACAGTTATTTAATTAATATCATTAAAGAAATACAGCACAGACGGGATAACGACATGTACTTAACACTTCACAAACTGACCAATTACATGTACCCGAATGATCTCAATCCGCAGAGGCTTACTTATCTCCAGATATGTGAATACACTAACTTACCATGCATATCAACTTTAATGCAGTGTTTTTAAAATTGAATTTTAAAGAATTTTCATCGAATTTATATATATTTTATTTTTTCGACTAACAAATTTAGGGAATAACAGTCTTGGCATTTGTTATTTGCGACCATTAATGCTGATTTAACAGTCGCAAACTGAGTTTTACAGATGTTTCGACTGTTAAATTGCATTAAAGTATATTCCATCCCTAATAGCCTCAGACTCAATCATTGATTGTATGTTGTTTTGCGTCCCATTTGAGAATTTTTCACTCATATAGAGACGTCACCATATACCGGTGAAGGGCTTCAAAATTTTTACCTATACTCGGCACTCAGGGCCATTGAGCAGTGAGGGATCTTTATCGTGCCAACGCCTACCGTGACACGGGACCTCGGTTTTTAAGGTCTCATCCGAAGGACCCGCAACTTTCACTTCAAAGTGCCAAGCGCATGGCGAAGGAACAGTTGCTACCCATTTTTTATCGACTTAGGTCAGTCGTGGCCGAGATTCAAACTCATGACCCCGATCACGGAGTGAGCGCTCTACTGACTGAGCTACTGTGAACGGTCAGATTCAATGAAATTGAATACATAACAGATGTGTACGGGTGGATTACTCAGTTTATTTAGACATAATTCCCATTTATTACTATTAGTATGTAAGAATGGAATGTGTCCTAATTTATGACCTTGACCTTTGTTGAAGAGTTATCTCCCTCTTTTTTTTAAGTAGTAAAAATTAATTTCTGAAAACCTACACGGTAAAAAAAATGTTTTCAATTGTCATTCTATTTCAAATGATTTAATGCATCTTTCCACCACAGTATTTATTGATATTCTTATTATTTGAATTTTTATTTTTAAAAAATTGCTTGTCTTCATAGACTTCAATGCAATTTCTGTTAATTAATTACTGCTTAGTTAATTACATATTTGAAACTTTCTCTTGGTTAATCCTTTTCTACTGTAAAATGCTTTGAATTAATATCAGAGTATTATATATGTGATGGATATTTAAGGATAGAGAATTAGGTCCTATTAGGGATGGAAAACCTTAACAGTTGCAAATAACAAATGAGAAGGTAGTTATTCCCATTCTAATACAATTTATGTTTTTTCTGTTTGATGTTTATGTCTTATTTTGTTGGGTTTTTGTTACATGAAATATGTCACAAAGCATTGTTTTTGCGTCATTCTCTTATGATGTCACAATCAAAAGCTTTAATTCATTCTCGTTAAATCTTGATAAACTGCCTGCCTCAATCATCAGTGTATTATCCAATCAAAATGCATTTTTCAAAACAGTTGCATTAGAATACAGATTTTCTAACCAATAACTATTGTTCTGACCAAGTAAACGGTTAACCAGTACTATAGAGTATTGACCAAACAGCTACATGATATGGCAGAGAATGGAAATGTTCCAGCATTAATACAAATACAACAGAGTGTGCAGGATTTCATGTTTGCTGTGAAAATCAGTTGTTTAGACCTTTACCTACAAAATGTACAAACTAAAGAAAGATTTAGCACTTGACCAGTGTGCATCCCTAGATACATTTCTTAAAATGCAGTACCTGGCCATAATACAGTACGCAAAATGGCTGCCGTTATAAAAATATATGTGCATACTTGCAGTTTTGAATGTTGTTTTTTTTCAAATTGATGTAAAATTAAAATTTATCCTACCTTACTAATACTTGGTTATGTAACCTTTTACTTTTATTACAGCTTGTAATCGTGTTGGTATTGATGTGTACAGTTTTCTAATCATCTTCAAATTGATAGCGGCCCATATGTCCTTCACAATACGCACTAGGTCTTCGCGGTTTTGAATTCCATCCAGGCGATGTTCCAGTCTGATCTTAATTGTCCTCCACACATTTTCAATTATTTTATTAATGTCTGGTGATTGACTAGGTCATGTAAGTGTGGGGATGTTGTTTGTCGTTTTCCATTCAACTGTGTCTCTGGACTGGTGCACCAGACAATTATCCTCCTGTAGAATCCATGGATTTGCAGGAAATTCCTTTGCAACAAGAGGCCACAAATGATAATCTAGGACTGAAATATATTTCTCAAGAGTTTATATTTCCTTCTACTTCAGTCAAAGTTCCAACACCATTAAAAGATAAACACCCCCAGAACATAGCCGATATGCCGGAGCGGGGCAAATGACTACTACACTGTCCAAGACAATCAGGTTGAAATCTTTCTCCAGGTTTTCTCCAGACGTAAATTTTTCTGTCCTTTCCTAAAACAACTTTCATCTAATCAGTAAAAATGACCTGACTCCAGTTTTCCTCCACTGTCCACCCTAATTTTGATCGACACCACAAAACACGGTTTTGACGATTCGGTTTCAAGATTGTTATTTTCTTTGAAACGGACCATCTTTGATATTTCTGTTCTTTTAATCTCCTTCTTACAGCTCTATTAGACACTTTCTGTGGTACAGATTTGTTAAATTTATCAGTTAAATCTGACAGAGTCTGTCGACGATTTTTCTTCACCAACCTTGACAAGACACGATCACCTCTTTCGCCCACCAATCATTTTCTTCCTAGTCTTTCTCTGTTTTCCATAAAATCCCTTTCAGCATTTCGTCAAACAACCTTCTGTATGGAATTTGGACTTATTCCATTAATTTCCAAAATTTTCCAGCTACTTAAACCACTCTCATTCAATTTAATTATAGTCTGCTCTTGCTCGAGTGAAAGGTCTTTCCCCCTCGGAGCCATTTTGACTTACATATGTTATGGTACTAAAAATAAATCTACGGAACTTCCTATGTGTGTGATATCAGATATAACGCTCATGTATGGATGTGTGTAGTTGTCATTATTTTTTATCATATTACAATCGATAAAATGAAGAGGAAAAACATTGTATGTTAATTTTAATTTTAACGGCGTCCATTTTGCGTACTGTATTATGGCCAGGTACTGTAGCTGTCCAGATAGACTAAGCCTTAAAGTTACAAGAGAATTCATAAACTAACCTGGTAATTCATCTGAAAAATATACCTGAAGGTCAGATGAAGTATGAAACAAAGTCTGGTAGCGTGCTAACCTAGAAGTATTGTCAATTCAATGTTAGTCCAGCTAGAACGTTTAAGATACTCAGTCATGGATGTGTTACAAAACATTTATCGGACCACTCACACAGAAAATATGGTTACTCATACAGATTATATACAGTGATTGGGAAGGCCAAAAAGGTCAATGGGACTATGGCGCAACAGTCAAAATTTTTAATGGGCCAATTTGAAAATGAATGGGCCATCAATATATTCTGAAGGGCCATTTTAAGAAATAATAAAATGACAAACAAAATATGAAAAACGAAAGAAAACATGTTTTTGTTAATTTAACCTAATCTAATTTTTAACATATGCAATGCAGCAAATTTAAAGGAACCTGTATAGAATGTGATTTACCCGTATTTTGTGTTAAATTACGTCAAAATTTGGATTGAGCACCACACTATCCTACAAATGAATGAAGTAATGTACCTAGTGAAGTGCTTTGTTTAACCTGAAGCAGTTTTTTGATGGGGTTTAACCAATGAGATTTGTTGTTTTAAAATTGACTGCATTTAAAACGAAAGTAAAACAAGTAAGAAAGTTGTACACAAAATATTTCCAAATAACATCGCTAACAATTGAATGCGCACCTTGGCGCCACCATTGATTGATTTAATGCGCCATTTTTCACTTCAATGTGACTACGGCGCGTGGCGCAAGCCCTTCCCAATCACTGTATATAGGTCACAAGCAGCAACTAAAACTTAACTGATTGTGTAAATCAATATGTTCTACACAGAGCTAATAGTTAGTTGGGATGGAAATGCTACAAAAATACTTCATCAACATGAAAATATATACTTAGTACCAAATGTGAATGCTCACAAGTTGGGTGTCGAGATTATTCACCATGTTTACAGAGAATACTAAAATATTTCTGTTTTATAAGTATGGCATGATAACATTGTAAATGACAAAGATTTGGTCAACAGATTGTTGAACTCTCAAATATGTTGCCCTTAGCCTACAGCTTGAGGCAACATATTTTCCTTGAGTCTAACAAGTGAAATGTTGCCTTTTTATCTGGTCAATAAATTTGTATTATGAATTGACTTTGACTACATTCATTTGTTAATATTGAAACTTGTGCCTAGAGAACACTCCAAGGTCAGGAAATCAATTAGCTTCATTATCAGTCAGGGGTGAGACTGTAATCCGTCATTTTTAAAATGACGATTTTAAGCCATAAAATAAAATTTTTATTATGACTTAAACTCGTCATTTTTAAGAAAATGACGAAAAACAGTCATAAAAATTTAGAGTGTTTCTAGAATACCGAGTTACCTCTCTTGGAAAAATGTTAGATCCACCAACCGAAAAAAGGACAAAAAACATCGTAAACTAACTTCATTTCTCTAATACAGTTGACTACAATACTGGTTATGTTGACAGTATAAATTTCCCAAGCAAAAATAAGAGTGGAAGAGTTATTTGTCAATTTATTTGCATTAAATAGGAAAGAAGACGAAAATGACAATATTCCGTCTTTTTTCAAAATGGAGGGTCTGGGCGCACTGAAATATCTCGCTTGTTTTACGGGGCGCACTACTTTTTTATGGCTTTAACTTTTTGTCGAGACTTTTCTCTACAAGTACGTATTCTTCCAGACGGTGTACTATATGTTTTTATAGGGCTAAAAGCCATGTAAAAATGGCGAGTTAGTTCTACCAAAATTCGACATTTTACCGCTAAATAATAACTTTCACCTTCCATGTTGATGTTCTAACGCACGTGGTCGGCAGTAATTAGTGACCCAGATGAAATGAAACTTGCGTAAACACTCTTCTTTCAGCGGTGAATTCAAATTTCGCTTTTATGTAACCAGGATAGAAGAATTAAGTTGAAAAAGAAAATATGATGATAGTAAGTCATATTGACAAAAATGACGAAAATACGTACTTAGTAAATATGACGATTATCCATCATTTTTCAAAAATGACGGATTTCAGTCTCACCCCTGACTGATTATTACAGCATACAACAAAAGTTTTACCCCAGTTTTATTTTCACTCCCTCTGCCCTCATTGCAAGTGGGCAAATTAATTACGGGAGAATTTAAAGAAGACAGCATTAACTCTTTTAAACCACAACTGTGTCAGGAGAATATTAATAAAATGACTTTGAGGTAAAATTGTCTGCAAGTATGAAAGGGCAAAAATGGGTCTTTCAAAATATACCAGTACCCAGTATTTTACCCAGCTGAAATCATGATTGTACCAGCCAAAACATTTGATGGAGATAAATTCCATAACATATTTGATTAAAATCACTTCCACAAGTACTTCGTATTTTCATAAAAGTGCACCCTGTTTCTAATTCTTTTTGAAAGCCCTGCAAAAGTAATATGGGGAAAAAAAAACAACATACAGTATTTAAATGCCCAACCCAAAGCCGACAGGAAACATTTCAGATGGAATATTTTACTGTCAATAAACTAGTCTAAGGTCTGATCTCACCTGCAGGCGTTGGTGTTGCGGTTGTTGGCTGTGTTACAGTAGTGGTGCTGGGGGTAGGAGTTGTTGTTTCAGGTGGGGGAGTGCCTGAAATTAGCATAAAATTTTGTGTAAAGCAAGCTGACCTAGATATGTATATATGGAAGACAAAATAAATGTTTGGTTCCTTTAATACTTACAGGTATTTCTCTGGTCTATAACAGTGTCATTCACTTTACAATCATCTACTGCTATCTTCCTATCAGCTGGGTCGCTGAGGTTATGGCAGCCTACATGTGGATGAAAATAACATCAACAGAAAACACATTCATGTGCCCCCTCCCCCCTAAGTTTCCCTTTATAGCAGTAGTAGTCACTTCTGCAATGCTTACAGGCAAAGCATGGAATGGACGTTTGAAGCAGAAGGCTTACTGAAAACTTCCACAACACAGTATACAACATTATTCTTGACAATTCTATCATTTCCTATTTTGCATCGAATTGACCATGAATTTTATCATACATGTATCCTATCAGATTTACACTTATCCTTTGTTTTTCAATTATCAGTAACCTTTTTGAATGCTTTTTGTGTGTTTTCTTTTATCTGTTTTACATTCATTTAAGAATTTCTTTTTCCCATTTTTCAAAAGATTAAGCAGGTATGAACTAAGTCCCCCTTACCTTTTTCATTCAATACTCTCATACCAAACATGAAGTGTCCATGTTGTTTATACTTTGAAAAGATGTGAACAGGATTAAAATGCAGTCACATATAACAAAGGTTGAAACTGATTTGAACTGGGATTAAAATTAACTCCCATCAGTACCTTCAGTGCTTTGATTAGCAATGCTAAGACCATTGTTGATGATGATTAAATTAGATGGTTGTTAAAAAAATCCCTTTATACAGTATGCCTGTGTCTGAAGACTTAGTTCATACAGACCCTGAAACGTGCTACTACCCCACACGCACGCTGCACGAACGGTACACGCTCGCTACACAGTTTGCATGAAACGCTGCACGGTTTACACAAAACGCTACACGGTTTGCACGCAACGCTACACGGTTTACACAAAACGCTTTGCACGAAAGGCTGCACGGTTTACACGAAAGCCTGCACGAAATGCTTTCTACACGTTTCTCACATGCTTTGTACAAGATTCTCGCACGCTTTGGCCTCGATATGGATTTTCTATTCGGAATCTCTTGGACTTTATTTCAGTTATTACTGATTAATCAACGAGTAGTTAAGGATTACAATCATTCAGATTAAGTTATGATTAAAACTCGCTACACCAGAACTATATTAACAGATAAAATACTCAATGTTCAGTTGTAATTAATTAATAGTTGTCAATGAATATGTGACCCGCCCGATGAAATGCTCATCATCGTTAAACTTTTTTTCACTAGACCCTAAATTATGCACTGAAAAAAAAAATTATATTTGTAATTCATCATTTTTTACAGCATTTAATGTTTTTACAATTATAGTTTGATACTAAAAAGATGTTCCATTACTGACTTTATTACTGACAAATAAACTCAGTTTCACAGTTATGTTTGAAAAAAAAAAAATTGATTAAATTGCGTATGATTTCTGTTAACAGATTGATTTTCTCTTCCTTTTTTATTATTGTTTGATTTATACATTTTTTTTTTTTTTTTTTTTTTTTTTTTGATTTAGTAAAGAAAATAATTTCATTTGATTAAATTAGGCTCTGTTTAAAATTTTCAAATGTAATGTGTACACTGCTTCAAACAGGAACATTGTGCAGGAAAGGGGGGGGGGGGGGTTAGATTACCGAGATCTTACTGTTGTATCTTCAAATCTGTACATGGCTAAATATAACGGGCACTTGGTTTAGTAAGTAAACAATCGGGAAAAAAATTATTATAGAAACAAGTGCCCGTTCTAAGAAAAAAAAAGATATTCATGTCTTCAGCGGGACCCGATACATGTAATTCATTAATATGCACTTTATTCAGAATGGTAAATATATATTTTCATTACAGAGGTAAACTTTAATTTATCATTAAAATCTTATATGGTAGAGAAGCCGGGGGATATGTATTGTAATTCTTTCGTTCTCTCTTCCGGTATTGTGTTTATTAAATATCAATATACAATGTCCAACCGCCTTTTAAAATCCTTGATTTCAAACCCTGTCTAGAAAAAAAAATCAATAATTATGTAATCAATAATCGCGGCTCTTAACAATACATTCAATATATATGTATACATGTCATATGTCCTAGAACTGCATGACTAATAAAAACAATTAATATATAATTATATAGGATTTATTTCTTTATATTATTTTATTCACGAATTCACTGGCAAATTAATTCACTGTTTACAGACAATCAGATAAATTTAAGAAATAAAATCAACGGGTATTACCGTTTAATTAATCGATCGTTATTGTCGGGTGTCATCTTAGCTATGATTGACAAGAGATAATAGCAGAGCAAGTTTTCAATCCCGGCAAGCGGAGTCCGTGATCGCTGTCGTAAATGACCTGGATCGCAGTCGTAAGTAGAGTGTTGAAAGTGTAAAGAAGAATCCAATATATTTTTTTTACGGGTGAATTGGGCGCACCCCATCGAAAAAAGCAATAATTTTCTTACAAAAGAAAAATATCAATAAAACACTTGTTTACAACAAAAACTCAGTTTTTGCTTTCATATGATCAACCCCCCCCCCCCTTGAAATATTTAACCTTGTATTTGCTGATGTATGTGAATTATAATTCATTTACAAGACTTTTATTAATCAACCAATTTTATGCATAAAAAGACAATAAATTACTCATCAATTTCAAAATTATTTGTATCACAATCTTGTAATATAAGAAAAATATGTTCGTTCATAAAGAAAATCAATTAACTGTGCTCCCCGGCCTAGAAATCTTATACTTCACATTTATAGCAACGCACTAAATTTTGCATTTTATTTTTCACGGCTGCCATACATGTATCTATCTATTATTTTGTATTAATCACCGATATGTTCTTGTAATCTCTATATCCCATGTACAATGGTGAAGATTTTCAAATAAATGAATGAAAAGGACAAGACCGGATTCCTAATGAATTTTCTTTTAAAAAAATATATTAAGTATTGCTCCCTTTAAAAAATGTATTGAATCAATTACCTTTAAATTGATGTGCATATAATTAATTACTTTTAACACATTTTCTGTCCATCTGTATATAAATAAATAAAGAAGGAAAATCAAGCAAATATGTAATACATTACCGAATAATTTTATTTTGTTGTTTCTGTATTTTTTTTTTTACCTTAAAATACCACCGGTATGATATATCCGAATAATATTAGCTATAAACAACACAGAATTGATCCAACAATAGTCATATTCAAAATAAGAGGACTTCCGAATGAATCCTACACGTTTCTCATACGATTCTTGCAAGAAAATCGCACGTTTCTCACACGGTTCTTACACGAAAGTCGCATGTTTCTCACACGCTTCTCGCACGCTCGCTACACGGTTTGCACGAAACGCTTTGGAGCTTACATGAAACGCTGCACGGTTTACACGAAACGCTACACGGTTTGCACGAAACGCTGCACGGTTTACACGAAACGCTACACGGTTTGCACGAAACGAAAAGCGCACGAAAGTCACACGCTTTTTTGGGGTAGTAGCACGTTTCAGGGTCTGTACCTACTTATAATCTTTTTTTTAAAATGGGGGGGGGGGGGGATTCTTAAATAAGCTAAAAGTCACATTTAACCTTTTCCTTTTTGAAGATCTGAGGTTAAAGTATTTTTCAGACACACAATGAAACACTCCCTTTAAGTTTGGCTTAATGGTGGCTTATAGGTCCTTAATGATGGTTTAATGGTTGTCTTTAAGTCACAACTAAGCACCTTTAAGCTACCTTTAAGTAATAAATACACCACCATTAAGTTACCATTAAGCCATCTCAAAGTCCTTGATGGGTGCTTAAAGGTAGCTTAATGGTGGCTTATAGGTGCTTAATGGTAGCTTCTAGACAATCTTTAAGTCACCATTAAGCCACCATTAAGCCAGACTTATAGGTGCTTAATGTCCAAACTCCATTAAGCTACCATTAAACCACCTTTAAGCCACCATTAAGTCACCATTATGCAGTCGATAAAACTGCTTTTATGGGTTAAATATTATTTTTATAATGATTTCTTCACTAAAATTATAAATGTCGAGTTCATACATTTGTTAATTCTGCGAAAATAATGTAAAAGAAAGAAAATCAAAAAAAAAAAACATTCCCAACAGGATTCGATCCCACGACCTTTAGATTGCAGTGCGAACGCTTTAACCACTGAGCTGCCGAGGCCATTGATATTGATTAGAAGAAAAATATAAAACCTTTAATTTAAACAAAACTTGTTTGGACTGGTGCCTGTACATGTATTTTTTTTCTAATGTTTGTATTTACTAATCAATAATACGAATAAATATATTTAAATATATTTTAAAAAAGAAATTTATATCAAGTTTTATATTACGTAAATATTTCTTAACCGTGGACCGGAGTTCGGTGTAATGTAGCTGTAATAAATTAAATGTTGCCCTCTCCGACTTTTTTTAATCTGATATTTTCAGGAGAAAAAAATCAGAGAGGGCTACATTATTGCAGCTAGGTGTGATGGCGTGAAACAACTTTCTGAGTTTTAAGTTACTGAATTCCTCGTTCTGTTATTCGCAGATTTATAATCATGAAAAGATTGAAATTCAACAGATATAACAAAACTTTGTTATTAAAAAGGAATATATCATCTAAAGAGAACGATGGGGAAAAAACAGATTATAGTTCTTATAAATATGCTGTGGATATTTACGATTTTTTTTGTAATTTAATTGACAATCTTTGCGTAACATTTAAGTTATAAAATATTTTTTTAACATATCATCTTCAGTTTTAATTCTTTTTATATCGTTATGGGTATCAAAATAATTGTCTTTTTGTCTACAATCATAATTTCTAATTTGTTATATGCTTGCGTAAATTTTAAGTTTTGTAAAAATAATAGATCATCAAAATCTGTCACTGTACGTTCCCGTGTATAGTTTCCTGTTAGCTGACTGGGGACTGGTGGGGACACCTAATTAAGGTCTATTGTCTAACAAGTTGATATAATGTACACTGTTTATTTTACCCCCCTTCTCATTGTGTATAAATCTGGTCGGATGCCATGTTTAATCTGATCAGCTGTTCTTCCGAAAATTGATTTTGAAATAACAATCATTGAAGACCGTCTATACCATTGGATCA